TTGGTAGATCATATTGCGTAGTAGTAGGTTTTTAACTTGATAAGTATCGGACTTATATTTATATATTTATAATTGGGAAGTTTGAATTCCAGTGGGGAAGTTTAAATTCCGCTGGTGGAAGTGTTGAAAGTGAGAAGGTGCTAGTGGTATATTTAGCAGTGGGGTTAACGGGAGATTTAGCCGCCGAGAACAGTGTTGATGTGTGAACCACGTGACGAGGGAGATGAGCCGTGTGCATTCTGTTGTCTGTACAAAGCTCCGCAGCCTTGTCAGTTGGTAGCGCTTTGCTTTAAAATATCCCGCATTTAAAAGACTAAGAGCCACGTACTTGCCGCAACGACTCTCACTACAGAGCTGAAGTGCTTACTTCAGTAGAATTCACATTACACCGGCCCGAAGTGAAAAGAGAACCAACGTGCCGATTTGTGTTCGCTCTTTGAGCTTGCCGCTGTTCTGATACAAGTTTATAATTAACGAGAAAATGATTTTCACGTGGCAGTGAGCTGAGCTGATGTTAATAACGGTTGAAGAGAGAGAGATGTGGCTGTGGAAGGTCCCTCTTAGTGGCGGGTGGAATTACGGCTGTTCATTATCTACCATTACTGAGATTGGGAGAATAGCCTGCCGCAAGGTGTCTTGTACTAGCGGGTCCCTATCAAGCCTATCTCGTGCAGCTGCCTAATACAATGACACGTGAACTGTGCTTGTAAACCCGCTGAACACTCTAATATTCCATCTACTTCTGGCATTCATTAGTTTTCCTTTCCCTAAATTTTCATCGCTTATTTCTCGTTAAAGGACCCACTGGAAAGTTATAAAGTCGCGGAATCTTCTTAGATCTCTCAGTGCAACATTGAATTTCTCAAGTTTGTTTCGTTTCAAACACCCAGCTACCCTGGCTCACTAAATATAACAAGGATTCAAATAGGACCCGTAATTTTTATTGTTAGGAATAATATACCCTGCGGATGCCTTATTTGATTGGCCTTAAGAGTTCCTATTGGCGGAGGTGGTACTAAGTCAAGGAGAGAGCTCAGAGCTCTGATCTTTTAAAATAGTGAGGTAGTTAGTGTGCGCTTCTCTCAGTTACTAATCGTCCCTAACTCATGCTTTTTAAAAGTCGCACCTGTTTTTACAGGCGTGGGAGAGTCAGTTTGAGGTCAAACCCCCTTTCTTTAAAGTCCGGTGACTACTGTTGGGCTCAGTGCTGACTTCTGTTGGAGCCGGTGTTTAGGTGTGTGCTGTGGCAAGGGTTGTACTTCAAATCCTAACTCACGTGGTGTGCTGTGATCAAGTCACGTAACCCTCTTCACCAATCACCTGGTCACTGTCTGCCTTACTTTTCTGTTCGCTCCCGGAGGTGTGATCCTGTGACCTGGTCTTGCTCTATTTCTAGTCCTCACACCTGATCATGTGCTACCATAAGCCGGACCTCAAAGGGACCAACTCTTGATAACAAACCTCTTTCTCTACTTAGAACTTGTATTCTAAGACAGCTGCGGGAACTAATAGATGGATGAATGAGCTACTATATAGTGCTCAAACATAAGTCAAAGATACAAATATGGTGCCACTTGGGATGGTGCCACTTGGGATGGTGCCGCTTGTGTTAGAGAGCCGCTTCTTGTCTACAATTGCACCGTGCATTAACATCTAGCCCCGGTCTATCTTGATATGTGAGGTGTATCCTTTACCTTTATAGTTAATTGTACTGGCCCGGAAACAGCACAAGACAGCCTCTCGTCTGATTGGACCACCGTGGTTTTGTTGGCATTTTTCAACACTCAAATGTATATTTAGTACATAGTTCTTTTGGCACGATATCTAGGTACTTCTTTCTCTCTCTCAGCTCGGAACATTGAGGGTCAGCGGTCACTTGGTCACTTGTGCAGTACTGCCCGAAACGGCTTGAGACTCAAATTGTTGCAGATAAAACAGTACGGCGTTGTTTTATTGAATTGTTTGTTTCAAGCTTTTCCTCATTGATGTACTCCTGCACAATCGATATGCATATCGAATATCGACTTTGTTTAATAACTCCATACTGATACAATGAATGTTGCTAAAACAAAAGTACGTAAAAGTGTTACGTTCGTTAAGGTCCTCTGAGCGTTAGGGTCCACCCTTAAAAACCGCAGGAGATACACGAGACTGAGTACAGTGCCCTCAAAGGAGATACTGGCTCAGCATTGTGCCATGTTATATCTCTTTTGAATCTCTCATTACCCAATTAACTTTTCAGAGATTTGATATCGAGTTTCGTCCTTCTTAACCTTTCAGACGGCAGATGTTGCCTGTGCAGACCTGTTACAAATCCATGTTTACGTTTAAACACAATACAGCCTAGCTTCCTTTTTAAATGCCCTGTTTTTCTTACATGTTTTGCTGAGTGAGTCGGACTTGTTAGCCATGTGCCGCCACGGCAGTGCTCCGACTTTTATGTTATTTTACTTACATGGCTGGACACGTGTAGTGAGCCGTCAAAGGGAGATTGTATGCATAACGAGATCCTGTCCGTTCCAGCCTCCTACTTTTACTATTTTCTCTCCGGGCGTATAAAAGCAAGCCCGTCTCGGGCCCCCTTATTTCGCTACAGTCGCTATTTCAAGTCGTCCAACTGAGCTCTGTTTACGTCAGTGGTGGTAACCCCTTTGTCTGAAATTGTTCCGAGGGAATTGGGCAAACATTTGGGGTGAGAGGAGTTGGAGTTCCCAAGGGATTTGAAACTTGTGTTGAGTTATAAACATTCATGATTCAACCTTGTTGCTATGTAGCGTTAGAACTCCGAGAGACCTAGTTTAGAGGTACATGAGGTTTGTAACTAGCAAATATCCAATTTTTTACAGCGCAGGTTTAATCAACTTAGGTTGTTTAGTAATGGTGATCCACCCTGTTTTTGTGGGTGTTCCTACATTTACTTAGACTTGTTATTCACATCTAAACAATGTCTGACCTCACATTAGAATTTCCCTGTTCGTTGTAAAGTTGTCCTGAACCAGTCCGAGTTATAAATCTGATCATCGCTGCCATGAAATCCACTTTTGACTTTTTGGTAATTGTGTTAGAAAACGTGACACTACAAGGACATTGCCAGATGAGTTGTTATTTTGTGTTCTAGATGTCGGAGCCTGCCTAGCTAGAGCTAATATCCGCTCTCATTTGTCAATCCTCGGATCCACATGTCAAATCCACATGTCACAATGTTTGTCCACATTTGTCACATTTTTACCCAATCTAATATCTAGTGATCGCTAATCGTCCTTTTGCTGTCGAGCACAGACTAGCTCTTGAGCTGGTGTGATACAAGCCTCCGGCCTCCACTCCCCACTTTATGTGTCATGTTTCTTTGGGTTGCTTTTTTGAAATTACCCCGTGCTAATGGAGTTTAAAGTATGGGAAATTCCTTGAAACCCCTCCTCATGACGTCCATTAAATTTCATTTCATGTTTTGTAATTATGAGGGTCAGTGCGAGATTGTTCCCAAGAACTACTGCCGCATTATTTTCGAAATGTGCAGTGCCCGTTCCTTTCTAGAACCTACTTCGCTTTTCCTGTTGCAATTTTGACTAATGAACTTTCTTTAACTGATACCATTTTAATCATTATCTCTGAAGAACGGATGGTCATTGGTAACTGTTCCTTGGTAACTGTTTCCTTGGTAACTGTTCATTGGTAACTGTCCCTTTAACCTGTTCGTGACTTGAATTGCGAAACTAACACTTCTCATTATTTGCCAACTGTCAGTACAATCTGTACGGTTATTTCGGGGAGGCACAGGTCAGTAACACGTGTAGTAAGAAAGGCTGACTTAGTAAAGATAGTGTTTAACTCGCGGGCTGGAGAACACGTGTAGACAGTCTTTACTAGTAAACTTAATAGTAAAGATAATGTTTAACTTAAACCTAACGAGGCAGGACGGGTTTGAATTGATAACACGTGTAGTTGTAATAGTGTTTATGCTCCGTGAGTCACAGACACGTGGGCGAGGTTCGGAAATCGCAGCTCTCCTACTCACATGTGAAATATAATTTATTAAGGTAATAGGATTACTCAAGTAGTTGTAAAGGTATTTATTTTCCTAACGACGTTAAATAATTGTTTTTAGAAGATAGGCACGTGAGGCACGTGGCCGTTGAAGAACTTGAAACATGTCAAAAGAACTGAACCACTAATTACAGTTCATTCCAATCCATCTGCCGACCCCAAATGAACCCTCTTTAAAAATTGCCATCATGTGTCAAGCGGGGAGGAAGGCTGCGCTCTCCACCTGAGCCAATGTGTCATTAAAACTACTACTAGTATAAAGGTAACCTCCACTAGCCCTAGACTCAGTGTTCGTTGCATGGTTCCTGATACGGGGGTACCGGTCTGTGATATAGCGCACTCAGCCCCCCGCACTTGCTGATATTAGCTTATTGATTTAACGCTCCTGCTGCAGTGCATATGTTATGGCTAAGGATATATCAGGGCAACCCGTTAATCATTTTATTTAATGTATTTTAGCTGTATAGACACTGTTAACATTGTCGCCGCATTGCCTGCCCTCTCTGTCCAAACCCGGCACTCTTCAGTCATCCGCTGTTTTATACTTGAAATGTCGGTTTTACTTGAAATGTCGGCTCTCGTGTCTGTCTCTCAAATCTTAGTAATGGGATTTGAGGAATTTGAGACCAGATATTAGGTGATGGTGAGAGTGAAATTGTTTAGTTTGACTTTTGCGATATCGGTTATACCTTCTAACTCCTCCCTGCTACTATTTATACAGTGTTTAAGTGACGCTAGTGTTGTGAGAGGGTGGCGAATATTTGTGTTGGAAGAACTGAAATAACGCTTAAAATAAGCTTTGTACAGCATATGTTGCTTCATAAGACTTATATAAATCTGGCCACTGCAAACATTTTGCACCCCCGTCTCCAGTCCTCCTACATCGATATTTTAAAGAAAATATGCGTCACTTCCCCTTTGGCTACCGCCATCTATTTTTGCTGCTGCTTTTTTACAGCCCAGTATTACTGTCCAGCACTAACGTCTTACTTTCCTCAGTTTAGGATAAGATATGGTTATAGAGAAATTGTTAAGCACGCTTCCTGTATCCCCCTTTTTCCTCATAGCCCTGGTTATTGCTTACGGCTTGCTGTCATTCAGAATCAATCAGAAGAAATACCATCACATACCAGGACCACAGCCATGGTGAGTAATTACCGTTAAACAGCAGATTTCCTTTTACAATTACCTGCTCTCTCGTATTGCAACAATATTTAGTCACGAGTTGGCCAGGGTATATTGTCACTCTTCTCATTTCCTTTTACCTGCTCTCTCGTTTTGCAACAATATTTAGTCACGAGTTGGCCAGGGTGTATTGTCTGTGTCACTCTTCTCATCTCTTTTACCTCATATCTCATATTTAACTTTCCTGTCTGTACTTAGTCTTCCGCCCCGATGGACTTTGCTCTGAACAAATCTGTATTTTCAGGCCCATCATTGGAAACTTTTTAGATATAAAGCCCTACCTAACTGGAGCTCTGACAGTACAGGATTGCTTTTTAAAATGGTGAGTACCGTTATGATTAAGTTAACTAGAATTAAGATTGTCGGTAGGGAGCAAGATTGGAAAGAAACCAATATTTAGTTGTGGGAGGCGAGTCCGGGAGCTAATGTACTGTAGCTGGGAGCAGTGTAACCTTACCCTCGTCGCGGGTCCGGTGCAGGTGGCGGCAACCCAACATACACCTTCCTTTCCAACAACTTTCTCCCACTTTCCACCTTCCACTCTACTGACCTGATTCCAACTAGCAACCTCCAGTTTACCCAAATATCAGGGCGACTGGTCCTTCAAGTAGACTGGCACGTTGTCCACTTTTAAAAACTGTTCTACTTTACTTCACCTCTGTTCAAAGGCACCGACTTAATAACCTGTAAAAGTATTTCACTGCAATATGTATCGTTGATAGTATTTGAAATATTTGCCCGTCCAGGTCGATTCAGTTTGGGTCGCTGTATAAGCTTTGGATCGGCAACAAACCCTGGATACTGGTATCCGAGCCGGAGTACGTGAAGGAGATACTGTGCGGCAAAAACTTCCCTAAAGATCCTACTTACTACAGCCCTATTGGGACACTCTATGGTCAGAGGTAATTATTCGAAGATTATTCTGATAAAATTCCCCGTAGACAGTGTTTAAAAGGCAGACGTATGCCTGATCCCGGGCTTCAAATCGCATCGGAAAAGGGCGATATCCTGATAAATATTGTCTAGTTTTAAAGGGTGGGTTCCCATGGTGCACTGGTCGCATGACTGTGCGTCCCCTTACCACGTTGTCGGCTGATTGATGTTTTCCTTTGTTCAGGTTTGCTGGTGGTGGCAGTGCAATACAAACCAACCCGGTAAAGTATGATCAACAGAAGAAGATAACCAACATGGCTTATCACAAGAAATATCTTCCCAAGCACTGTCGGGCTACCTTATCGGTAAGCTACTACATTTTCTGCCGGAAACATGGCCTGACCTTTACCGCGGATACATCTGATCTGATATCACTTTATTAATCTAACGTATTAATAAATAACTTAATCTGATAAACGGTACCTGATTCTGCGACACCAGCCTATTTCTACCCCGTCGTACTAGCTAAGAATAACAGTATTTACGGTGACTTGGTGTTATATTATACGACTAAAATGTAGGGCCAGTATTAACGAGGAACTGTACAGGTAGCAGGAAGATGGATGACAGCATTAGAAGACGAATCCGAGTGGTTCCCAATCTGTGATAAACTCGACAGTCTCTCTACCACCGCTCTCTGTAAGATTGCTTTTGACATGGACGTTCCTTTTGACTACAATGGTGACGAGGCAGCAGTTTACCAGATGGTCAATACTTGTTTTGATGGGATAAAAGACAAACTCTTCAACCCTTTAGGCTGCACGGTTGGTTACTTTGAAATTCTGTTAGGGTTTGTAACCTTGTTATTCTGTTAGGCTCGACATTGGGAGGAGGCACGCCCTTGTAAATATAGGCACGTGGGAGTAACATCTGGTAGGGCTACCAGATTGAAACAATTTGAACAGACACCCGCGTTCGGGTCTATTCTAACTATGGGTTAATTGATAAGATTAATAATGTTCGTGGGTGATTATATTAACTTATTTCAGCTGCACTTTAAGAAAGTAGAGAGAGTTAGAAAAGCTGCCAAAGCTTTGAGAGAAGTCGGAGAAAACTTTATCAGAGGAACTTACGATAAGATCCGGAACGGAGACAAATTGCCTGATGCCATGTTCAGCTACGTTCTCCAGGAAATTCACGAAGCCGGTAAATTTGCTTTTTTAAAAGAGTATTTCGTGAGAATTACGTTTCATTCTTTGCGGATTATTCAATTTTTCCAGAGGCTCGCCGAACTGAATTTCTTTAGAACTGAATTATAAACATTCTTCTTTTACGTAATATGGTTTAAAAGGGTTTTAAACATTTATCAATTAAATCATATATGATTATCCGGGTTTTAAAAAGAGCACTTTAATAAAGTAAACGTCAGGTTAAAAGAATTCCTAGTCTTAAAAACTTCATATTTTCACCTGTAACCGCTAGATTTGTATTCATTCGGCTTTTAGGAATTACAGAACATATAGTTCACAATGAAACTGTTTTTCAGGCGGCTCCTTTTCGCTGGAGGAGATAATTGACGAATTCGTCGTCCAATTCATAGCAGGTAAATTCCCAAGACAATTTTCTTTTAACCTTCATTAGAAACAGCTTGTTACTTTTTCATTTCAGTTAAACATCAAAGTTTTTACTAGTTAGTGTCTGTATTACTTTGAACTCACATCAAAGGCCTTCTTTGTATAAAATGAGTGAGCTGAGGTAGTTTGTGCCTGTCTTTCTAATTAATAAAGATAGATAATAAAGCTCATCTTTGAACTCAATATCAATCGTCTGCGAGCCAGAGAGTTCAACCCTAAAAGAGTGCCGTGTCAGGCTCTGCAAATACATCCAATCTGACGAAGTCTGATCTGATGAATTTTGTTTCAGGCTCGGAAACTACCTCCAATTTAATGAAGTTTCTGTTAATGGAAGTGACAAAGAATCCTCATATTTACGAGAGGTGAGATCGAGTTGTTATTGACTTTTGTTATATAATTTCAAATGATTATGTACTTGATAACTGGTCAATCAAATACAACTTTATATTTGGTGCCGCTAATGAATGTAGCCAAATTGAATCAAAAGTTTCAACACACCATGTATCGGGTTTAGACCTCCAGAAACCTTAAGTAGTACCTGCCCCAGCCACGCTGCTCAATTAGACCGAGATTTATGGTTTCTCGTAATGAATTGCTGACCTCGCATTATCACAGTAGAAGAAGTAATTACTTAATACCATTTTCGTTAATTGAGTTACCCCGGTGATTACTTAATGCTATGTTTTTTAATCGAGTTACCACGGCATCGCAGGTTGCAAGAGGAGATCGATAGTGTCATGTCCAGGACAACAGCTGAAACCTTCTACACAGATCTCAGCGAAATGACATATCTGGAGCAGATCATGCAGGAAAGTCTCAGAATGTACCCTGTTGCTGCGGCGACCACCCGAACTAATCACGTAGATACCATGCTCGGCAAGACTCTCATACCTGCTGGATCAACTATCATGGTGAGTTAAAGTGTGAATATCGGCTGGATCAGCTGAACTTTATTTAACGTTAACGGTTTCTCGTACATTGGGCTTAGCGAACCTAGGGACCCAACTATGTCCTTTTTGCAATGGAAACCACCTCGTGGCTGGATAGAACAGAGATTTGAACCCATAATATTTCGCTTAAAAGAGGGAATCACTGAGCTACTCTGCCCCGCGGACGGTTAATATATTAATATTGATCACTGAACACCAGCTATTTTAATCATAGTATGGCGCAACTTGACCTATGCAACCTTTTAAACAAAATGTTTTAAATGTGTGTAGCTGTATATAAGCTAACGAGAATCCATGGAAACTGTATTGACCTGTGCCAAGTTACTTCTTGCGGTAACACACTTCCGAGCCAAAGCTTGTTGTCCCACGTGGCAGCTGGCTATTTCCACGTGGCACAAGGTTGCTGCCACGTGATTGGCTACTTTAGTCACGTTTCCTAAAACATGTGAACCTATCCTCAGGTGTGCTTTCACGTTCTACACAGACATCCCAGCCACTTCGACAGACCAAACACCTTCGATCCGGACAGATGGGCTAAAGGGCAGCCAGCGTAAGTCTCCTTCAATTTCTACTAATCCTCTTGGCAAAATGTTGACATTAAACAATCAGACTGTAGGCAATATCAAGGAATATACTACGATATCTCCAAATATTTAGACATGCCTACTGGCTAACTGTTCAGTCACTCCAAATTAATTTCAGACCGATGCCGTTCACTTTCCTCCCGTTCTCTAGCGGACAGCGCGGTTGCACAGGCAAGCACCTGGCTAGACTAGAATGTAAGATCATGGTTGCAAGCCTCCTTTACCACTACAACTTAGAATGTCATCCTGACCAGAACTATGAGGTGACTACCACCCTCTCATCCCGGCCCAAATACAAAGTCTACATGAAGATGACCAGTCGACGAAAACCTAGGTATGTTTTTTAGCGAGAACCCAGAAATATCATAACCCCTAATTTCGTATACTCTGCTGTTATTCGATCAGGAGGTAAAACAACGATAATGTCAGGGGTTTATCAGATTTTCACGGGTTCACGCTCCGCTGTGGTCACACATCCCTGCTCGAGAGAAGCGCCGTGACCTGGATGCGGATCGTGAGCCGGGTGGAGGGAGGTCTTGAACCGCATGTAGTGAGGGCAGCAGCTGACACGCTCAGTTGCTACTCAACCCCTCGCCTGACCCGGGCATTGCACGTGTGCTGGAGGGGATATAGCTACCCGCACACGGATACCAGCCGCTACAGAAATGTGCACTGCACTGCCGTCTACCTTATTCAGACCAATTCAATTACCTGCTCCTCGCAGGCTCCGTATAGAATTATCAAATTTTAAACTGTTCAAAAGTTTAAAATTACACTCTGGGTCGGATAAAGCGTGCCTTGCCAGGGCCCCGCTGGTCGAGTGAACCGTTTTAAGTCTGGTTTATCGGAAACTTTCCTAGGATCAAACGGTTATACCGCCCGAGCTTCCTCTGCCCGCTGGCCGACACATAATTGGCTCTTTTTGGTTCGCAAATTCAATAAGGGTTTCATGTTTAAAATTGTATTACCAAGACAATAGCGAGGAATGTGTACAGATCGTGTCGATCCGCAGGTAACACTTCCAGTCAGCTTCCTACTTGTAGTACCCGCAGAGCATCAGCTCTACTCAGCCTTATCTCATCTAGTGCCCGCCTCACTCCATACCAGCTGTGTCTCCGTCATAGATCCTTCCCTGCTCCTTCTAAACACCTTCCTACCCATAATAACATGAGAACATAACCGCTGCGTGGGCCTCCATTTTTACCGGAGGTTGTGGTCACCGGTTGGTGACCCGGCTATTACGGTAGTTAACAAAAGCTGATTTTATACCGATGTTTTCCTTAAATTGTGGGACGTTTATAAACGTCCCACATTCTAAGGGAGACATTGTGGAATTTTCTCAACATTCTGACTATGACCAGCAAAATCGTCTAATATAATCCGGTCAGAATACCAAATGGATAGGAGGGGGGCCGGGGTGGTTGTAAAATAGGACAAGATTTTTCACATTTTTAGAAATTGCAGTAGTTTTATCAAGTGATAGGACACGTTCAATTGATGGAATATATTTTTAGTAAATGAGAAGATATAGCGGGTTATTGTAGCCTACATATTTGTTTAGTAGACTACTGAGTCGAGATATGACTGATTTAAGTGCCCGTAATCCGACTGTCAATGCAACTCATGCCGTACTGTCACGCACTTTACACTGGGTACTGGCTAGTCGTTAGATCTTTATATATCAGGCATCCGGCTAAATTAATACACTTACATCTGCAAAACTCTCATTACGTTATGACTCTAATGTTTTACATAATGTAACTTTAAGTTACTAAAAATACATTTGTTAGTTACCAGACGGTTACCAAAAGATAATAGAGGATACATGGTGGGCTAGAGTTCACTACCACATGCAATCCTTGAATAACTCACGTTATTCTCGTCAGAATTACACGAAATTTTCAGGGGTGAGAGATATGGGTCAAATTCAGATTTACTAAAAGTTTTGTAAAATATTTTTGATCACATCGGGCGTGACCAATCATACTCGTGACTTTCTTTCGCTATTGTCGTAAAAAATGAAGGACGAAGGTGCTTCGGGCTCGATACTAAATATTGTCTGGTTGTCTTCAATTAAGGTATGTTGAACCTGAGCCAAAATTCCGATTGAATTGAGGAATTGTGCTTAATCCGAGCAAGCTATGACCATTATAAGATCTGGTGCGATTATGATCTCATTACTCATCCAAGCGGTCCTGACTGGATAACGTCATTTCATGGGATCTTCTTCTTCGTAAGGGGCTGTGGTCAGCCTTGTGCTTCAAGGGATCATAACTCCGTTGGGTTAAGCACATCAAGTTCTTATCTCAAGTTTAAGAGCTACTAATATGATTCGTCCACTAATAGTGGACTCCACTTATAGTAACAAATAGTATATTTATACTGACTAGAAAGAGTTATTATGATATTTGCAGTAACTTAAACGTTAATAAGAGATATTTGTTAAAAGTTACTAAAATATACAATAAAATTTAATAAGATTTGTGTTTCAGGACTCTGTTCGAGCAGTTAGACGACTTTGCCCCGACGACAAGGTGAGCAGACCACGGGAGACACAGCAATTCAGATCATACACTGCTCGACTAAAAGTTGCAGAAGAACCCTCTAGCAGAACCTGCTCGAGATTAGAACAACATATCAGCTCGCGGGTCTAGAACAATCTAGCCTTAAAACAACCCTGCTCTAGAACAACCTTTTAAAGCCTAGAACAATGTAGTGCCTCTTAAATGGCCTGGCCGCTTCTTGATATCTTTGGAACAGCCTACTTGAGCCCGACTGTACATAAAACCGTTTCGATTGTTTGATAATTTGATATTTAAGTGTTAAATAAGCTAACATTTTCTGAATGTTTGTGTTTTGAGAATATGTGGTGTTAGGAGGACTGAAGAAAGAAAAGTAGTTTGTAGTCTCTGACGTATCATAGTGTAACATCTCAGTGTAACAGTGTTACGGTGTTACAGTGTTACATTGTCACGGTGTTACATTGTCACGGTGTTACATTGTCACAGAATCATGAACAATGGAATTAGAATCAGGCAGCACCCCATATGATTATCAACAGCTGAATGAAAATATAAAGACTTCATTTATAAAGAGCTGTCTTCTAACAGACTGAATTAGGAGCTGATTTTGCTGTTTTTTGTATTTGTGGAAGTGTTTAAGTCATTAGGGACTATAAGATAAAATATTTGAATCAATAGGTCGAGACGTCCCTCCCCTAAACGCCTGAAAACTCCAGATTTGTATAGACTTTTTATAGACTTTTGTAAGGTCATAATCTTAGTTTTGTCTAACTTGAGAGGACAATGAAATATTTGTATATTAGTGGCACAGTGAAACACCCAGATTTGATGGATTCGATAACATTTCAACTCCTCAATCTGTATGAATATGATGGTACATCATAACCACAAATTAGGCTTTGACCACTTAGCTTTTTATAGCCTGAATTTATATTCTAGGTTTAAAAACGCTGCTGAAAAGGGATATTGTTATATCACCGTGTTACGCTCTTGTAGAAAAAATTGTAAGCTGGTATCAGCTAAAGAATAGTGCCATCTGCTTTCATCTCTTGAAGTGAACCCCAAGTTTCAATAGGAGGAAAGGTTTAAAAGATATTCGATAATGTACTGAGGTACGATGAGGTAGTTTGAGAGATGTTTAAATCGGATGGCTCTGTTTGAAAACCTTGTTACTTTGTATTCTGCCGGAACGTTGTAAATGTTTTGGTGAAAGCACCATCCACTCTGCGATGAACAAATCAAAATTAGAAATAGACCACTCCGGCGACTCAGACATGCTGTAAACGATGATTCTTTAACTTCACTATATTCACAATAAATAACTAAATTGGAAGTTCATCTGAGCAGGTCTGGGTTGCCTAGATGCACTGAATTGAATCAAGTTGTATTTTGTGTACAGGATTTATTGCAATGATTTTCAAAATTTTACTCCTGTTCAAAATTATCTAGTTTTATTTTTGTAAAGCTCCCACAGTTTTTGGTCAATGACATTTTTAGGCATGTATATTTGGAATATAGGTGGCCAACAAAAAGGGCCTGGCACTGGCAGGTGACCCCGTCAAAATAACAGTCACGAGTTCTAGTCAACTTCTATCTCGAAATCAAGTTTCACATATATTTGAAGCTAAAAATATTGAAGTTCACATTAGGAAATACCCAGTCTTTCATCACCATTCCGAATTTCGATGTGGCATCGCTCTGTCACCGCAGTGGCACTACATTGCCGGGACAGTGACAGCAAGATAGTGAATAGTGATGAAATACCATTACCAAACTTTCAACTCCATCGGACGCTTGATCACGCAAACCTGTGTATTTAGAGCCCAATATTATTATTTCTTGTCCCTCTGTGCAGGACCCACTAGACTTCAACTCATTTTAAACATTTAAAAACATGGTTTGGTAGGGTCGAAGATTATACCTTAGTTGTAAGCTACTCATTTGGCTCATTATTTTGTTACAAATATTTAGTTTTTATTTAAGATTGCATTTTTTACATGCAACGAAAAGGTTGAAAATTGATAATATAAGTCTATTTTTAAAGCAACTCATAAAAAATCAAATATAATCTGAATCGAGCAAGAATCTGAAACCTCTGGGTCACGTACGTCAACGTGTATATCTCCTTCTTTGTAGCCATTACAGTTACATTCGTCAAATACCACACATTTACTTATGTTAATACGTCTCTGGGGGTTAAACTCTAAACATAGCCGTGATTAACACTTAACAGTCACTATAGATTGAGGGTAAAACTCATGTGACATGGACAATACGTTTAAATGACATATGGGGTTAATGGAAAATAAATTTTTTCTGAATAGATTTGTGTTTGAGATGATTTAGTTGTTTGTTGCTGGATATTTTCACCTCACCCTTTAGAACCGCTCTGACATGGTTAGTACCTGACACTTGTGTCAGTTGCTAATCATATGGGCAGTATACAAGCACATTATTTCATTTCATTTTCATTTCATTTCGTTTCAAAGGCACCAATGCGTTGATCAACTTGATCAAGAGGATTATCAAGTAATTTGATTGGCTACATCAGTACTTAATGAGAAACTTTGGGATTGGCTAGAAACTGCTTGTTACTCTTTGAACGGCTTCAGGCTTCACTCCGCCAGTTCACCACATCTGCAGATGGCCTTGAAATAAATATATCATCTACTAGATGAGATGGGAGCTTCACTTATATTAAAGGATCAGCAGATTATAATTAATCTTCGGATCAAGTTGTTATAACTATATAAAACCACGACAAGGAGCGTTTCATTAAAGGATGCTGTAAAACTACAAAATGAAATTAAATCAGTTCAGAGGACAGTTCATAGCAAGAATAAGAGCTGATCCTCAGCTCTGACGGTAACATTCTCAGCTGTTCTTGCTCCAAAAGAGACTAAAGCTGCTGTCAAGTCTGTCACTGACAGAAAGGATCTCTAGATGTCTGAATTGTTGTCTAATAAAATGGGTGACATTCTCGACAAGATCGACGAGAAGCCAGCTGTTACCTTGTTATACAGACTACTGGAATCAAAGCGGACAATATACATTAGACCACGTCGTCACTAGTGTTGAAGAGAAATAGACTGCTAAAATGTAAATTGTAAAAAGGACTATTTATGTTTGCCTGAAAACCATAAGGTGAGGAAAACTTACAAAAAATGTTTTAAAGGACACAAATATCAGAGCCTGCTAAGGTTCATTATATCAGAGCCTGCTAAGGTTCATTATATCAGAGCCTGCTAAGGTTCATTATATCAGAGCCTGCTAAGGTTCGTTATATCAGAGCCTGCTAAGGTTCGTTATATCAGAGCCTGCTAAGGTTCATTATATCAGAGCCTGCTAAGGTTCATTATATCAGAGCCTGCTAAGGTTCATTATATCAGAGCCTGCTAAGGTTCATTATATCAGAGCCTGCTAAGGTTCATTATATCAGAGCCTGCTAAGGTTCATTATATCAGAGCCTGCTAAGGTTCATTATATCAGAGCCAGCTAAGGTTCATTATGTCAGAGCCTGCTAAGGTTCATTATATCAGAGCCTGCAAAGGTTCATTATATCAGAGCCTGCTAAGGTTCATTATATCAGAGCCTGCTAAGGTTCATTATATCAGAGCCTGCTAAGGTTCATTATATCAGAGCCTGCAAAGGTTCATTATATCAGAGCCTGCTAAGGTTCATTATATCAGAGCCTGCTAAGGTTCATTATATCAGAGCCTGCTAAGGTTCATTATATCAGAGCCTGCTAAGGTTCATTATATCAGAGCCTGCTAAGGTTCATTATATCAGAGCCAGCTAAGGTTCATTATGTCAGAGCCTGCTAAGGTTCATTATATCAGAGCCTGCTAAGGTTCATTATATCAGAGCCTGCTAAGGTTCATTATATCAGAGCCTGCTAAGGTTCATTATATCAGAGCCTGCTAAGGTTCATTATATCAGAGCCTGCTAAGGTTCATTATATCAGAGCCTGCTAAGGTTCATTATATCAGAGCCTGCTAAGGTTCATTATATCAGAGCCTGCTAAGGTTCATTATATCAGAGCCTGCAAAGGTTCATTATATCAGAGCCTGCTAAGGTTCATTATATCAGAGCCTGCTAAGGTTCATTATATCAGAGCCTGCTAAGGTTCATTATATCAGAGCCTGCTAAGGTTCATTATATCAGAGCCTGCTAAGGTTCATTATATCAGAGCCTGCTAAGGTTCATTATATCAGAGCCTGCTAAGGTTCATTATATTTATATCAGAGCCTGCTAAGGTTCATTATATTCGAAAAAATAGAGTTATAAGTATGTTGTAATGATTCTGGGGCAAAATTCGTAGTGTTCTCGTTTATTGCGACAAGGAAAAGGGTCTTATCAGAATGATCAAACTACGAGTATTTACATCAAATAATCTAACTAGATAACATAGAGTATAAATTATGTAAGCTGAGTTGCATGAATAAACAACAAACTTTGAAAATCACCATTTAATTTTCACTCTATTTCATATTTAAACCCCAAATGTCTGGTTTGCCTTATTTCACAATTTTCTCTCCAGTTGATTTACTTTTTACGGGCGAGGCCTGATCAATTGCAAACGTATTTTTATTGACTATATTTTTCTTACTAGGGTAAGTTGGTGAGTTACTTCAGGGTGGTTTAACTCGAGTAATATAGTGTCAGGTATTGAGTGAAGGTTAAGCTCCGCCTCCAACTCAAAGTGAGTGGTTTTTGTTTTAAATGGTCACCTCTCTTTTACTTAATAAAGTCGGAGAGCACTGAGCAGATGTTTTCTGTAATAAAAAACACGCGCACATGAGAAGATATTTGATTGTCTCCAGCTCATGCAGATATCTATTCATATGATTGGGTGGACTGAGCTTAATAGGATTAATAATGGTGAGGTTGAAAGAGAAAAACAAAATGTTTCGGGTGGTGGTTGTTGTTTGATTAATGAAGTGTGGTAACAGGTTATTGTAGGAGAGATCCTCGCGAACAGCAATTAATCTTCGAGCGAACCTGTTGGGGGTATAAAACCACTGCGCTAACCGAGGTAGAGTCAGATTTTAACTGCTCATTTAGCTCACTTTAGTCGAAAGAAACAACTGTATTCGATATGTTCCTGTTAGCTGTTACGGTGATGGCCGTCTTGGCGTGGTCAACTCAGTCTGCCGCGGTGGTGGAGAACTCAATTCTTAACGGAGAGACTGCTGATACTGAGGGTTCCTTCTTTGGTCTTCGGGGTAGGTAGCCTTAGCTGTTCTGATACACTACGAGTGAAAGGGTCGTTAGACTAAGACATAGTCATGCCGCCAATTTAGTATTGAGACCATTTTCATTAAGGCCATTTTCATTGATAAAACGCCAGTTGATTTCATGGAGCAATTGAAACTGAGGGGTGTCGATTATCAATAAAACGGTTATGTTACCATAGGATCCATATTCGCTTTTCTCATTATAGATATGGATTTGGGGTTCATCGACCAACTGTTCATTAAACTGCCTATGCCCTATAATGGATAGAGATAGCACTATAAGTATAGGAACTATTAGCGCCCTTCAGTGGTGATATGGAACCACTATTGGCTCCATTTGTTACCAATTAATGGTTTCAGTGGATCCACATTAACTTATTCAACCACCTGTATTTTTATTCTAAATGGTGCAGTTTTGCTGTCTGTTATATTTTAATTTAATGATACACTTTCTTCCCGCCCTGAGGATATCAGTTATCTGTTTAACATGTACTTAGTTAGTTGACTCCAGAATTAACAGTACGGAATATTTCAGATTCAGAAGAGGAACTAAAGGACGAGATAGTAATGATGGACCGAGAAGACGGGAGCTACTTTGGGATGAAGTAAAGAGGATTCACTGGAAACCCTTTGGTCCTAAAGATCCCTGGTTCTGCAGACTGATGATATTGATATCTGGGACTGTAGAATTGTAGGAGCCCCACATGAAGTCTCGCCAAACAGAGGGAGTGGTTTCAATCGGACTTTGCTCCAAGTTTCCTATTTAGTCCGCTTGTTCTTGATAAGTTCATTGATATTTTAAAGTTAAACACCTTGAAGTTGACTAAAACGTTTTGTTTGAATTTTCCTTTATGAAATTATTGCGAGTAAATTATTATATAAAGTATCTCACGTAACAAAATTAAAATGAAATATGCAAAATTGAATCCCAAATCTGATGGATAAGAATTAAAAACTAATCAATCGTTGACAATGAAAAATATAACGTAGTGAGTGCAAACTAATTCGTGTACGTTAATAATGTACAAAGTTAGTACTTCTTTGATCTTTCAGTTTCTATTCGCTGATTTAACAATAACATTACTGGGCAGTGAGCCGGTGGGCAGCGCTCAGCCTGTCACTCCGCCATCTCTTCATTGTGTTTATAAACACTAACTCTAAGCCTGGGTCCCAGGTTAACACGAACAATAATTTTGCCTGTGTAATGTATTTGTAATTGAACTATATAAATATTACAAGCACTTTCGTCATTCAAGCCCTATACGCTACAAGTACAACCACATGGAAACTAAAGCTAATGTATAGAGCCATTGTTAATGTTTACTGTGATCCATGATCGAAGAATCATATTGTGGCGCTACTTAATCGTTCTGCCTGCTTCCAATTTTGCATCGATCTCTATATCAAAAAACTGTTCAATCCTTTTGTCATTTAGCGACTAAACTAAAACATGATTTGACCGCCATTGATCGATTTTAATTTCCAAAACAAATGAATGATGTGCGATTATTACTCAAAATTCAAATGAAAGTGAGTTATTAATAATTACTCCAACTTCCAAGATTACCGAATACACGAGTAATGGTTATTTCTGATACATCACCCTGACCCTTACGAGTGCCAGTATTTCCCCGATTTAATGACACAATAATATTATTTATACAGTCTGATTTGTTCCATCGACTTTTACTATTTGTTGCTCGCCAGTACCCATTTGCTATTTGTAGCATTTACCAAACCCGAAAGAGCACTTGTTTCGTTTCATCGTTATCAAATAAAACTTCTAAATATAGTAAAAACAACGCCCAAGTCTTATCTTCCTCTAAAAAATTAATGTAAATCTACCAATATCTCTTTTCATAAGCAGCTTAAATGACAAAAGTGCTTATTGAACCATCAACGAATAAATTTAGTTTACATAAAATTAAATCACAATCAGTGAAAGTAAATTGCTTTGGGATCTTCTTCTTCTTTTCATTGTTGAGCTCAGTCTATTGATGTTTCTACAAAATCGCTTATAGAATGAAGGGAAGAAAAAAATTACTTCACTATTTCCGATTAAGTTCCGCGGTGTAATTCAATCAACCTTTTAGTCCTGCATCCGGTTTGGGTTTGCATCGGGACCAGATTAGTACTGCTAATAGGATTCTAGTCAGGATCAGATTATAACGTTATGGTTTGACCTCGGGATTTGGGATTGTATTTTAGGGTTCATACGACGTGAGATATAATATCGAAGGGCAATTCAACTTGGTGCACCTCTAAAACCGCAATTTGGTATGATTTTATTAGTTCAAGCTAGAACTCTATATTATGATAGTCCTGTGCCTCATGACTACATGACAATCATGTTAAAGCAAGTCATTAATTAATTCTCGTGGGCTACACATTTGACATCGCTAGAGGAGAAATGATCGTGACTTTATCTTAAATCTAATGTGGTGTTTTGAAACTACACAGATCATTCATAAATTATTTGTACGTGGTTACTATCATTAATTTTCAGTTTCAGTGTTTTATTTGACTAGTATTACGTTCGTGAAAGCACCACTCTCTGACTCTCAACTAAACTCTTTTATGATCCATTTACTTCGCTTGATGTAAGTTCGTTTGTTCTTCGCCAGTTGCCTTTTGAGTCATATTATGAACAACAAGTAGTATATTTAATGAACGCCCGTTGATAAGAACAAAATAGATAATAACCACTTCAATTATATTTATTTAACAATATTTATTTAACAATATAGTTATAAAGCAATGAAAGGCATTAGTTTGGTCAAATCAAACGGAACATATGCTATCAGACTTTCAACTGACTATGGCAGGGTTAAAACAGTTTTAACGCTAGCAACGATCCCCTTTTACATAGTTCCACTCAATAAATGTATTTAATTGTAGTTGTGAAAATAGTTTAAAACTATATATAATAACTATATTGTTTAGGGTGTCTAACCTAAAACCTTATAGCTGGACAATGCAGACCATTGCTGAAATTATCTGTTTATATTGTTTGACTATTCTTTATCTTCGACACCACATTTCCACTTCTAAGATATTCATAACCACGTTTCTACGAAGCATTACTAAACTGGTTCGTTTCAAGGTTTGCAGGAATCTGACGATGGCTTGTTGTGAATCATGTGGTAGCCAAACTGCCCAAAAGTGTGGTAACTGCAAAAAAGTTTGGTATTGTAGCAGAAATTGTCAGAAGGAGGATTGGAAGGGTCACAAAAATTATTGTGGGCCTTTTGAAGTGAAAGAATGTCCAGGAAAAGGATTGGGACTGTTCGCGACCCGTGATCTGGCAATTGGGGACCTGATTATCAGGGAGGATCCCATTTTGTATATTGAAGGGGGTACAGATCAAATTTTACAGAATCCTGATGTATTTAAAGCTGCCTTTGAAAAGTTGGACAAATCCGATAAGGAACGAATTCTGGCACTTAGTGGGGCTCATTCGAATAATCTCGTTAAGATTTTTGGAGTGCCGCTGTCGAACGGAGGAGAATGGTAAATTTTATTCCATTTTTGGAACATAATTAAAATATTTATGATATTTACTGATAAAACTGGCTTATGATTAAAGCCTAAAGGATTTGTAAAATTACTTGGTGAACATTATAACGGTACTCAGTACAGCTGAGAATTTACAAGAATGGGCTATAAATAATTTGTTAACCATGGCCATTTTATTTCAGGGAAACTGCACACAGAATATTTACTAATAATTGTATAGTAGCTAACAGATATCAAGACGCAGCGTTATTCTACACAATAAGTAGAATAAATCACAGTTGTTCACCGAACGTAGAGTGGAGCTACGTAGAGAACAATTCTCAAGCGAAGGAAATTAGGGCTCTAAGAAAAATCCAGAAAGACGAGGAAATTTTAGCAGACTATATCGCAGAGTCCGGTAAATTTGCGGTGACCAGGAAAAGAAAGGCACTACTTCAGATAAAGTTCGGTTTCGCTTGCATGTGTTCTCTCTGTTCGTCGGATCACTTTCTAAATGACATATTGAGAGTGAGATTGCAGAAACTTTCTCATCATATCCGGGCTTCTGAAAACCTAAACAACACTGCTAGAGCTGCTCTTGAAAAGTGCCAAATACTGGCATTGGAAAATTGCAACGATCTCCGTCACGAGCTGCCAATGGCTTATCTTGATCTGTACGAGATTCTCCGCGATATCAAAATGTCTGGCCTCAAACTAAGACCTCTTGACGGCATGGTGCCAAACCATGAATTTTACAAACAGAAATCATTGGAAATAATTGAACAAACTAAACTAGCGCATAGTAAAGCAGCATTTACGGGAAGAATGAGAGATCTTGCACTGCGCCATCTTCAAGTATGACTAACTGGATCATGAAGAATTTGGAACTGCCATGACTGTCACTGATACACAATTCTGAAGTTTAAGAATTGTTTAGAGATAAAGGTTCAGATGCAATCACTTCGTTCAGATTGATAGTTAGATCATAGAACATTTATAACTATAAAGTTATGATATGTCCGGTTTTATGCCACGAGGTAAGATTTTTATTATTGGGTATTTAACTAGGTTTTAGTCTCACTCATAACTATAACATATCATTTCATTTTGAACAACCAAATTTATAAATTTTCCATCATATCATGGTTTTCTCCCAAATCATGTCGTTTGTAAATATTATTAGTTATGAACGATGTAGTGGACCGAGGTTAAACTTAATGTTTCCGTTTTTGCCACTTGTTGCATGTCTGGCCACGAAAAGAGAAATGCAACTTATAGTTATATAATTGTGTCTGCAAATAAATGAAATGAGTCGCTACTTGCTTGTTTTTTCCATATTCATACTTCCTTTGCTTCATTAAAATTGAAATAATCATGTTAGCATGATTATATGCTGTTACGTGTTACGTCATTTGGCTACTGATTAATCTACTGATCATGTGACTAACTAAACAATAGTAAATATGTTCTCTATGCGGCTCTTACGTTCACTTTCAGACAATCCGAAATCCTAAGGCTCTTTACTCTGACCCCGACCCACGTACTCTAGACGTTCATGTCACGTACCTAGTTCGACAACTATTACTAAAGTACGCCAGATATCGCCCGGCCCTGTCGAAATACGGTACGTGTCGATCACTAGAGTTCAGGTAGTATACTCTAATTCAACAGAGTCGCACTTTAGGGTTTGTCGAACTACAGACAGTACATTTGACATTTTTCACACGTTGCCGACCTGCCACTTAGTGAAACGACAATGGGGGTCACGACGTGATACAACAGTACATTAAGTGTCGAACTAATATATTTATAAGGGTACGCTTCAAACTAAAGAACATGTATATAGTATCCAACTTTAAGTTTAACCAGGACCCTTAGTCATTCCCTACTAATAGTAATACTATACCCAAGAGATGATGATAAATCACTCTACACTGGATCTGGACGATCCGGATCACAAAACTTAAATTAACACGTTTTCTACATTCTAGCCTACCCAGGAAACCCTACCGCATACCGTTAACGGGTTCAGGGTTATACTCGTAAAATATTTGTTCCAACTATTGACCGTTGACGAGTTAAACTTGGCACGCGTTTTGGTATACCGTACGAGACATATTTATGTTCGGCATAATTCCGGTGACCTAATTAAAAGATTTGGGAACGAAAATATGAGGATTTTTTTTCCAAAAACGCCAAATTTCGTACCCAAAATTAAATCATGGCATTTGAGGATTTTTTTCATTTTCTTATTTTACAAAAAATAACCCCAATATTTGAGAAAATTATATACAAAGATTTTCCCTGATTAGCTGTTTCATCTTCATCTTGTAAACAGTTTTTCCGGCCGATCCTTTGAAAGTTAGCCTTAACTTAACTCAAGATCGCTGCTTTGTTAATTCGCAACGATCTGAGCTTGCTTACTTTTAATTGACGGAATATGTTACTCGTCTAAATTTCTTCGAAGCAGCGCGCCCGCTTTTTCATTTCTTCTCGAAATACTAGCACACATTCATAATCGAATACTATTACTATAAATGTTCATTAATTGTATGTATTGTTTCATGTTTGATCAAGCATATTTATAACTTGCTACTATATAATTATATAATATTGATAGTGAATCGATAAAGTCATAATAAAAGTGAAAAGGAAATACGTAAAATACGGTGACCTAATTTTTGTATTTTATCTTATTTATTTTGGTAATCACCTTAACGTTTGATACTCGTATAACATATTTGTTCCAAAACAAGACCGTCGACGAGTCCAGCTCGGCGGGCGTCTGCATTTTGAAAGGTTATAAATCTACATTTGATTGACAATTTCAACCCTTCCAGATCGTCGATGCGAAGCAAGAATGCTAGTTTGCGCGGCGCGTCGAAGCGGCGAAGTCCTCCAAATATACATTAATCACCAAAAATTGTGTATTTTTATTTTTGAAAAAACATTGTAGGTTTATAACCTACCAGGACGCGCGCCGAGTTGGACTCGTCGACGGTCTTGGAGGACTTCGCCGCTTCGACGCGCCGCGCAAACTAGCATTCTTGCTTCGCATCGACGATCGTTGCTCTGCTTCGCAGAGCAACGATCTCGACGGATTGACATCGTCAATCAACGACGGTCCTGATATATGGAACAAATATTTTACGAGTATCACCCGTTAAAAAAACCACCAACTTTCGAACCATTTAAATGTTTCGTAAAGAATGTTATAAACCTACAAGTCATAAAGAGTATTTATATTAGGTAGTGCGCGCGTGCCATCGACAGTGAGCCGCGCGTGCCGACTGTAGGATGTTTTTTTAGCGCTAATTTCGGCCAGCACAATTTTCTTCAAACAAATAGATATTGAGTATCCTTCCCGACCTCCAATTGCAATAAAAATTGGTAAGGTTACTCATAGACTTACAAGGCCAAGGAAAGTGTCCGACAAATTTAAAGCATATCCAACCATCAAACATTATGTTACAGCTAAAAGTTGACGGATGTTGCTCGTCTAAATTTCTTCGAATTAGCGCGCGCCGCGCTTTCTTCTCGAAATGTTATGGCCCGATGGCAAGTGCTACGAAGTAGCGCGCGCCGGGCCAAATCATTAACAATGGTTAACGGGTGATACTCGTAAAATATCTGTTCCATATATTGTTCCACAGGACCGTTGACGAGTCCAACTCGGCGCGCGTCCTGGTAGGTAGTAAACCTACAATAACAATGGTCAAAGCTAAAAGCAGCGTATTCAGTATTTTGCCCCATTTTGATCACTATATATCATTATATCAAAGCTCCGATATCCACCAAATTTTTCGGACAGTTGTGAAAGCCCTATTGGAAGGTTGTCGCCAATTTTCAGAATGATCTCATTCAAGGAACCGAAGATTTATCCGAATAATACGACAAAAATCAACGAATTTGGTCAAATTACGCGACTTCTACAGCTACTTTTGCTCCAAAAGCCGCGCGCCATCAAATATGGCACCTAAGCGAAACTCACTGATCTTTCCAAAAAGGTATAACAAATTTTGTACTGTGAAAATTCTCACAGTCTCTAGAAAACAGTGGTACAACAATTTTTTAAATCCGAGCAAATTTATTTTTATCGTGCGCCCCCTATTTATATTACTGACCATTGTTATTAATTGACCATGACCTTGTTTACTGGGCCGCGCTCAGCCTGTCATTCCGCCTAATCTCTATGTTAATGAACATAATAGCCTGGGGTCCCCAGGTAAGACCTTGTCCATTGTTAATGGACTAGCCCGGCGCGCGCTAGTTCGTAGCACTTGCCTCGGGTTACCTGGGGACCCCAGGCTATTATATTTATGTTCATAATCCGCCGAATAGAGATTTGGCGGAATGACAGGCTGAGCGCGCTTAGTAAGCACCAGGCTAACATTTCGAGAAAAAAGCGGCGCGCGCTCCTTCGAGGAAATTTAGACGAGTAACATCCGTCAAGACTGTTAGCAGTTAGACTGACCCGACGCATGCTACTTCGCGTTACCCGGCCCTGCCCTAGATTAATGTTAATCTATATTATTGCTAGCTCGCTACTCTCACGCATCACGCATGTAATGCAAGAAGCTCGAAATGAGTGCCGCGCATTTGGCATTGTATTGTGATTGTGAATTGGCGCGTGCCAGGTAATTGTGTATAAAAGCAAATATAACGAGTATTACATTGTATTACATCGTGACCCCCACGGTCGTTTCACTATAGTACCCCTGTAGAGTTTGAACGATACAGGGGGAGCCGCGCACTCGTGCGCGGCGGATCATACAACGTAAGACAAGTATTACATGTATTATATTCAAATACATCAATAACGGCGATGAGTTGCGAATCAACTCGGCGCGCGTCTTAATCATTATTAAGTTATAAACATATAATTTCTTTGTTCTTGTTAGAGTGGACACTCTCAAACATTGTTTGTAGTTTGTAGTTGGTAAATGATAAGGTTCAGTTACAATCAAGTCCACATATTATCAGTATTTTCAAGATTAGCCATAAGGTCCTGTTCACTGTTTCTCAGCGTCAAGGCATAACGCGATATTTTATGTCATAGGTGAAATTTTACTTGAACTCGCTCGACCTTATCCATTTTATGTAATAATATAAAATATACTATATGGACACGTTCATTGAAGTTTGAGGATATTGGTAAGTTTCTAAAATAGCGTTTTTGACGATAGTGGCTTAATTTTAGCATCTATTAATCTAGCGTGTTCATAAGTTCTGAACATTAGCCACGTGACCCATACCCCCATATGCACTGCTCAGAAATAAAATGTATTGCTTTTAGGCACTATAATGTAAAAAATGTCACATTTTTGTGACACTGTTTACCATAGCTGCCTAATTATCATTCCTTGGTCTGAAATATAGTAGATTAGGTCAATCTAACAATTATGATACAACATTGGTTAAAGGGCACGGATCGAACGGCTTTAAGGCAATATTTCGTAAACTTTGTCACACTCAGAATACGAGACCTCTTTTCTACTGTGAGGTGTCCTCAAAACCCTTTCAACTCATTATTTGATGGTTCTTCTGCCAATCATAGCCCTAAAATATGTTGTTTTGAAAAGTTAGCTAATACATGCACTTGGTTATTCGGAAATGATGTAAATTCTGTCACATTATATGGAATTTGAAATTCTGGGTGAATTTCCGGAATCATTTATATCTGATTTTGGTTTGGAAGGCGGGAAAACTCTATATAAGGACGATTTGTATCACGCGGTGACCCCCACTGTCGCTTCACTATAGTGTAGCTTCACTATAGTGTAGCGTCTTCGACGCTACAGGGGGAGCCGCGCACTTCGTGCGCGGCGGGTCATACAACGTATGACAAAGGACGATACACGGATACAGTTGATTCAAGTATTATAGGGCAGTTGATGTGAACATCGTCACAAAATGATACGACATCGTAAATAAGTTAAATTTTGTGGGAAAACTCTATATAAGGACGATACACGGATACAGTTGATTCAAGTATAGGGCAGTTGATGTAAACATCGTCACAAAATGATAAGACATCATAAATAGGTTAAATTTGGAAACAATGCAATGATTATAGAATGAAATAGTCTGTGATTAACATATTACATACATTATAAAATGTTCTTCCAGAAATTATTGGTTGGTTATTGTTTAGCAAAATAGAACTCAAGTTTAACAATGCTGAGTTTATTTTTACCAAGTTACTGAAATGTGACGAAATTTACTTTTCCTGCCCCAACAGTATAATTTCAATGTGATGAAAAATTGGCATGGGTTTCTATATTTCCTGTATAAATCTATTCTAACTATAATAAGGACTATTGATATGAAAGAAAATCTATCTAAATTTTAAAATGACGTATGTGACGAAATTTACATTTCTTGCCCCTATTTTGAAGAACCATACCTCGGTTAAAATTCAATTTTCTTCCAGGAATTATTGGTTGGTTATTGTTCAGCAAATTAGAACTCAAGTTTAGCAATGCTGAGTTTAATTTTACTAAGTTACTGAAATGTGACGAAATTCACTTTTCCTGCCCCAACAGTATAGTTTCAATGTGATGAAAAATTGGCATGGGTTTCTACATTTCTTGTATAAATCCATTCCGACTATAATAAGGACTATTGGTAGGAAATAAAATCTATCTAAATTTTAAAATTACGTATATGTGACGAAATTTACATTTCTTGCCCCTATTTTAAAGAACCATACCTCAGTTAAAATTCAATTTTCTTCCAGGAATTATTGGTTGGTTATTTTTCAGCAAATCAGAACCCAAGTTTAACAATGCTGAGTTTGGTATCACTAATTTACCGAAATGTGACGAAATTTACTTTTCCTGCCCCAACAGTATAATTTCAATGTGATGAAAAATGGGCATGGGTTTCTATATTTCCTGTATAAATCCATTCTTGCTATAATAAGGGCAGTTGATATGAAAGAAAATCTATCTAACTAATGCTATGGCTGATGTGACGAAATTTACATTTCTTGCCCCTATTTTGAAGAATCATACCTCAATTAGTATATAATGTTACTTTATCACCAATCACCATCACTATGTCGATAAATTAGTTATTTTGCCAACACGGAGCAAATAAAGTTATAATATTTTTTTTGTGACGAAATTTACAAATTTTTACCCTGTTCAGGTGTTGAAATTTTGCCAATGTTAACATATCACTGCCATATAATAATTTATATGACCCGCGTATGGTTGAAATATTGTTAATTGATCCATAGTACGTAATATAGGGTGTTTAAGTTGGTATACTAATATTTACTCAATTTCACACAATATGTTGAGATATCATACAAATTTATGTGACTAAATTTACTTATTTCTGCCTTCTGTATTTGTATTTGCCTATAACAATGAAATATGTGAACAATTCCAAACACATTCAGCTCACAAAACAATGCTAGACTATTCGGCATTTCTTGTCAGGATGTCATAAACATCCCTCATATAAATTTCTTAAATGTGTGACGGAGTTTACATGGTGCTACCATTTAACGAAAAAAGTCGCTAAATATGTAGATAATAGTCATATGCAACTATCCTATAAATTTGAAATTCGAAAATTTGGTCAAACACGGCAACAAGGGGTCCATATAAACTTTGTCACATTTTTATAGTGTGACAAAGTTTACAACTCACTGCCGGCCGCATTTAAGCGATATCTTATCGTCTGATAAAGATATCGTTATGCGACAAAGTTTATCTAGAGGATGAAACGATTATCCTAACCATTGAGGGTTTATATAGTTTTATAGTGTGACAAATTTTACATCATCGTGCCATTTAGTAGGGTCACTAATATTTACCAATATCCTCAAACTTCAATGAACGTGTCCATATAATGTATTTTCTTTAACATTGAAGTTAACCATTATCCATATCATGCTGATTTGCATTATTCGTTTACCCGCTAGAAAAGCTTTACTTTTACGGGGCATCCTTCAAGTTCAGTACATATTAGATGGAACGTTAGCCGCATTTGGAGCTACATTGAAGCTACATTGGAGTTTACCAAAATGATTAAATTATGAAAATTATTAGAAATGGAGGAATTTGCTGCAGGAGCAAAATTTGATCTTTATCATTGACAGTGGATGATTAATATGAACCCTTTTACCAATGGCAAATGAGATTCTCAATGATTGGAACCTCTTTGTCAACGAAGATAAAAACAGACTTCACGCATGTTTACTTAGCAAAGTCAGGTGAGAAGGATGAGCAAGGTGAATTAATTGCTGGCAATGAATTTGACCATTGTTAATGATCTGGCCCGGTGCTCTTGAGAAGAAAGCGGCGCGCGCTACTTCGAAGAAATTTAGACGAGTAACATCCGTCAAGCAATGAATTAAAGAGAAAGAGCATCACACTGGGTTCCATGTTATGTAGCAAGGAATACATCACTCGGCGGATTAGTCTAGGTTATACTGCTTTCAACAAGTGTAACAAAGTCTGGCAGTATCGAGATAGCCTGACCACTGCCCGCGGACAACTGTCTGCGGACAACTGTCCACGAACACCTGTCTACCAGATCATATTACTGCATAATAACAGTATCCCCTGAATCAAGCAGGGTTCACATCATCCCCTGAATCAAGCAGGGTTCACATCATCGCACGCGAATTTCAATCAGTGGTGGTGTCAAGGCTTATTAAACGAAGCAACCTTACGAGATCAGTTCACATCATGCAATATATAAAGAATAACTATTATCAGACTGCATCAATCATTTCTATCATCAACTCCTTCTTGAACTTCGAGGACGAGCAGGGAACCAGGGACATATATGCATTACACCCAGGACAGGACATGGAGCTCTTTAGGAGGTTTTTATGGAATAGGAAGTCTCAAGCATTCTCTAGGGAGGCGGTGGGTCCATTAATTTCGTCTATTAGGCAGAAGAGTACCATGTCAGGAATTGGAATAGTTGTTATTGTTGATGATGGCAACTGATAATACTTCACCAAAAACGAACGACTTATATACAACATATTGTTGGGATACTGTTATTATACAGTAATATGATCTGGTAGACAGGTGTCCGCGGACAGTTGTCCGTGGACAGTGGTCGGGCTATCTCGATACTGCCTAAAGTCTAAAGCAACAAGATCCCCTTGGACAAGAGACTTATTATTATGCTATATGAGGCACTGCACTGGTTGTTTCTGTTATGATGTATAACTCTAGCTGCTGGACTGCTCCTAAGTCAGTGTTAGAGAAACTTGATGTTGAAATATTTTGAATTATTGCTACCCAGTACCCTAACATTATTTCTAACAATAACTTGTATAAACGCTGTAATGTGGAACCATTATCAGCAAGAGTGGACAGAAATCGATGGAGAATGTTGGGTCATGTTTTGCGTGGACCTATAGCTTGCTTGTATTTGCTTTTAACACTCTGCAGTAACCATAATATTTTCTTAAACAATTTATGTGATCTTTCATATTTAAGAAATTTAGCGTTAAACAAAGTTTTTTGGAAAAGATTTCGATTTAATAAAGTTTTATTTTCAGTTAGTGAGAAAGATTGGGCAACAACGTTGTTTAGCTATCTGTTGTTTAGAACTTAAGTATATATATACAAATATAATACATTATAATACTAAAAACCCGCTCGCGCTAGTCGAAAGCTTTGTTTGAGGAAATTTTAAAGTCCGTCATGTTTTAATCTCTCTTCATCTTCTAGCTCTGTACTGTAAAAATTATTGATTTTATTTGACGATGACAACAGCATTGTAAGCATTCGGATTCCCTAAGCGATACTTGTTACCACATCAAAAAATATCAATCACAACCAAAGTCATAGTGTGAGCAAAAATGTGAGCAAGTCATGACGTATAGCAGGGCAACGCGCATTGCTAATCTGTGCTTGCTCGCGTTCAGTCTTTTGATGGAAAATCAAATTATGACTGAGATCAGACCAAACAGATCAAGTATACCAATATACTATAGTAAAGTGATATGTTTTCAGTACACTACAATATTGTAGATGTAACCTAAGAAGATCCTTGATGTTTTGATAGGGCCCCTCTTGAACACTCAATCACAGTGATTCGGTTAAGTCAACTGAGATTTTTCCCTAGACTAGTTGACACTGGTATTTGAACCCAGAGGTTCTGCTTGAGATGCGGACCAAGAATCATGGTCGTTGTTAAGTCTAGTTGTGGCATGCCTACTGTCTAAATTAATGTAATGGCTATGTTTTGGAGTTTAGTATTGGTGTGAAGCTACTACATCAGCTCCAATTATCAAAAAATTGTGCAGCTAAAGCACAACCATCTTAAGGATCTGATAAGTCTTCAACAGCTGGATGTAGAAAAGGATTGCATTCAAGATATTACTGCTCTAAGCTTTAAAAGCTCACAAGTCCCTGCTATTGTTACTATTGTCTAGTGTACTATCAAATTTTTAACAAGTTAAATACTGTATTTTTACAGAATGACAGGGTCCAAGAATAGTGCTGATGGCATAGAGACACACATTATTCGCAGATACGAAATACAGAAGCGGCTTGGCAAAGGAGTAAGTAAGACCCTTGGCCCCTTAAAGATTTGTGAACATAATAAGTTGCTGGCCTTAATAATAACGATATTAATGGTGGACCGTTGGTACTGTCTTCTGACTTCACAAGTTGATTAATTTATCATTACCTGATTTTCAGGCCTATGGAATTGTATGGAGAGCTGTTGATAGAAGGAAAAACCATGTGGTAGCTCTTAAAAAGATTTTCGATGCTTTTCAAAATGCCACGGATGCTCAGAGAACCTTCAGAGAAATTGTCTTCTTACAGGTACAACGTTTTGACTAACACATTTACAAGTTGTTACCTATACATGCATCATAATGATGCGATATCCATGAATTTTGTATAGTTAAGAATTGTATTATTATACAGAGGCCCATAAGTCAGTTTGCAAACGTTTGGACTTAAATATAGCCATTTTTCATGTTTGATATGTGTAACTTTGCAAATGGCTTATTGAAACTACTTATTCGAGGATTGAGAACTCACAAGTATTGTGTAATCAATAATCTGAGATACAAGTGATTATTTCCCGCGGTGAATACTGTCTCGTCTCATCCAGCCTTTTTTAGAATAGTTCCGAGAATTTAGGAGTTTATATATCGGTAGTAAGGTTATTTTTCTGGACATCAAAAAAATCAGCTTAACAATTTTACCCCACTGGGTTTAACTGTACAATTATTGAAGTAACTGTAGTTAGCAACCAATAACACCAACTGCAAAATAGTAGTTTAAGTTATCCAATATGTTAGTACTACGTGACGCTCAAGTTTCTAATGTCTGAAAAATAATTGCTTATTTACAATCGATAATTAGGTACAGTGTACACGCCATCTGATTATTGATCGTTGCAGGAGTTTGGTAACCACGACAACATTATAAAATTGCTGAATGTTATACGAGCCGACAATGATAAGGACATTTATTTAGTTTTCGAATACATGGGTAAGTGTAACCTTATATTAATTAAGATACTGTGCCCGTGTTACTTTCTGACAAGCAAACAACATGTTTTGAAAATTGAGTGCCTTCTTGTTGGGGCAGCACAGTTTTTTGAATTGATAAAGTTATACATTTTGTTTTGTTTTTTACGCTCAGTTTCTTTTATCCCCCACCTTAGTAACCTCCCTCAATTTTTCAGATACAGATTTATATGCAGCTAATAAAGGAGGAATTTTACAAGACATCCACAAAAAATACATCACTTACCAGGCAAGTGTAAACATGTTCTATAGTTGTCACATTTTAAATGAAGAACCACTTGCACTGTTATTTAAATGTATTCACCGCTCAGCAGACTTGACTTTACACAACAAAGTTTAAGTAATAAAACGACGATCTTCTCTTCGGATACCAAATATGGTGCCCCATTTATCTTTTTACAATCAGTAAAGCTGTACTAGAGTCTAAACCATCAGGGATAAACTTCACATTATACCGTACAAGGCTAAAACAATTTAAAGTGTTCGAAGAAACTCTCTTCAGCATGAACTACTCTAGATATTCATTTCATTTTTATCTCAGAAATGAATGGTCGAAGAAGGAATTGATCATTTGGTCGCTAAAGTCTGATCTTTTAAGTGCTTTAATGGCTGAACCATTGAATTGCAGTAAAGCGTATATCAAGTGCAATAAATGGTTGCAGTAAATTGGTTTGATTCGATGGACAGCCTAATAGGGTACGCAAAAGACCAGATTCTTAGAATTCGAACATGTTACGTACTATACCAATATACCACTATAATACTAAGCAACATGATCGAATTCTAAGAATCCTGTCTTTAGCGTGCATTAAGCTAACTTATGGGACTACAGCACATTAGAGTGAAATAATACGTCTATGTTACGATGATATTTGATGTTACAAAATCTCGTTCTCTGCAATTTTTGATTGCGTAACTTATTAGACACCTGGACACCACCATGTTTTTTGATTTGCGCAACTCAGAGATTGCTTTACACTATTTTGAGAGAGGAGCCCTATCAAGGGAACAAAGGACGCCGAAAAGAGAACATGCCTTTAGTATTTATTTTGTATAGCTAATTTAAAGATCTCATTAATAATATAAGAGGCGCTCTTCGGCACCCGGGGATGCCTTGTTATTAATATGAATAAAAGTGCATGTTCCTTTGGGACAAGCCGAGTCCTATCTAGTTCACCTCAAAATGTGTGCTCCAGAAAACTCTAAACATTGTTCTCAATTCTCCTAGATTAAAAAGTCCTAACATTATAAATTAATTTGGTTTGAAGATGATATTAAACCAAGCACCATATTGCAGATATTCAAAGGAATCAAATATCTACACAGTGGAAATGTTATACACCGCGATTTAAAGGTCAGTCCTTTTTTGTAAATTTTCTATTTCTATACTCTAGTAAGTTTGATATAAATTTGAAGTTAAGTATTAGAGACATTCCGTTTGTAAATACAGACTTTTTTAACGTTTTTAATATTGATATAACAGTTCAATTATTTCTGTTACATTTCAGCCCAGCAACATCCTTCTGAACGAACACTGCTTTGTAAAGGTTAGTTTTATCAAAAAATACATGCCAACGTCAGGTGCCTTACTTCTCCCAAGTTCGACGACACTTTGAATATTCTGTATCCAACAAAAATGTTATTTTTCCTCGATATGTAGCGACTAGTGATAAGAGATACTACCGTTTCACGAAAGTAGTTTCAGTGTCAACAAATTCATTAGATGTAACATTGGCTGAATATTTCACTTTGTACTAGTCTTCACAGCTAACTGAGTTAATGTGCGACTTGTGCGTAGTGCGTACTAATAAAGCTCGCAGACTTTACCGCCGCGCCGTATATTTTGCATCATACGATATATAATAATATGATGTATGTAAAAGTTTTAAAAGAAATATATTATATATAAAGAACCCAATTAAATGAATGATAAAAAATGATAAGATTCAAATAAAATCTAAGATCAAGAAAGACAAACTACCAGTTTTTTAAACTGAACATACTCTAGTTTGGTCAGTATATCCTTAGAATAGAGCTTCTCCAAATCATAGTGTGACAAATTAAATAAGTATGTCTTTAAAATTTTTTAAACATATCACGATTTACGACTTTTTCACGATTTGATAACTTATTTTTGTACAGAAACGTAACAAAGTAAAGTAGAAATTAGAATTGTTAAGTATTCCCATAAATGTTTCATTCTAGTTTCCTCTTATCTGCATGACACATTTAACTGAACTCCGGGTCATCAACACTTTCTGTGTTTTTCCTTCGAGCAATCCTTTCAAATCCTCCAATATTTCGATTGAATCGAATGCGTTCTAGTACTGCTATTCACTAAACCACATATTGACCCAAATTCTACATGAAAAAATAGACCTCGAATAGTACTTTCTTCCAGACAAAATCGCATAAATAAAGTGAACCCAAATTTACTGTCGGACTATATAAGTGATGTTTAAATTTCATGTTATAAAGTATAGTGGAGGTTTCTCAAGAAACTGCTCTTCCACTCCAAGTATTCTTGTTATAAAGTTTAGTGGAGGTTTCTCAAGAAACTGCTCTTCCACTCCAAGTATTCTTGTACTCATGGTGATGATTTAGATTTAAAGAATTAAATCTCCTAATCTTATTGATAAGCTCGTGACAAAGATACTGATACAGCAGACAATCGTCCTGGTAATACTCTAGCAACATATCCAGTTGATCTGAAGTAAGGGTGGAGTAGTAGCTGAAGAGTAGAGACATGTTTCCTGGTGGTCCTGTGTTTGTCGCCCATCTCTCTTCAACTGCATCCTGGGATAAGTACCAGATAGTACCAGATAGTACCAGATAGTACCAGATAGTACCAGATAGTACCAGATAGTACCAGATAGTACCAGATAGTACCAGATAGTACCAGATAGTGCCAGATAGTACCAGATAGTACCAGATAGTACCAGATAGTACCAGATAGTACCAGATAGTACCAGATAGTGCCAGATAGTACCAGATAGTACCAGATAGTACCAGATAAAGTAACAGATACTACCAGATAAGTACCAGATAGTACCAGATAGTACCAGATAGTACCAGATAGTACCAGATAAAGTAACAGATAGTACCAGATAGTACCAGATAGTACCAGATAAAGGAACAGATAGTACCAGATAAAGTACCAGATAGTACCAGATAGTACCAGATAGTACCAGATAGTACCAGATAGTGCCAGATAGTACCAGATAGTGCCAGATAAAGTAACAGATAGTACCAGATAAAGTACTAGATCTTACCGGAGAGTATACCACAGCTGATTTTAAGTTGCCAGTTATGTTCAGCATGTGTCCAATATCACAATCAAATGTCTCTACCTTTAAAATGAAATCAAATCTGAAATGTTTTAGCTGTTACTACAAACCACTTTAAATCGAGAGGCTTGGAATCATAATCAGCGGCCTGCACCTTCACGTTGTTACATAAAGTTTAAGCTTCACGTTAAATCTTAGATCATCCATGACAATACATTTTTCATGACGATTTTTCATGAAGACACGTGCCAAGATTACTTGGTCTATATACTTGCCAAATAAGAAATTACCGTTTTGTCAAATGGCAAGGCCCACAATACTGACTTGCTGGTACTACGTGATTATTCCTCCAGCCTGCCACGACCTCAGCTACAAACTCCTTAAAAGTCGGATATGGTGGTTTAAGATACGGATTATCCTCCGCAAGGGGCGTAAAGTTTTGCGTATTATTTTCCGACATTTCCACCGCGTAGTCAACAGCCTGCTGAGCGCTCTTCTCTCTGTCGAAGTGTATGGTCCACATGATAGGGCGGTGGTGAAGCATCATATCCCTAGCCGGGGTTTTAAAGGATGTTGTTTTCAACTGTTCAAACTTGTCTCGGTAAGCTGACAGGAGCCTTCTCAGTGGATCTCTAACTACTACGAACCGTTTTTCTTCTCCGGTCGGGGTTGCCTAGTGAGGAGAACTGTTTAACTATTTGCAGCGTAGTGGACGGCCTCGAATATGTTCGATCATTCTGGTTGATGTCGCAAGGTCTTACGATGCTACAATTTTACGCTTACTTTTCAATATTATATTTCGTATTATATGAGACCTGAGATTTTTACAACTTACTGGCTCTTTGAAAATCATCAATGTTCTGTAAAGTGTCGCACCATTCCTACTCTTGTTTCGGCAAATTCGGTCGGGAAAATAGTCTCTGCAGAAATGTGCCAATACGTTTGAAGATGCAGCCTTATACACTGGACAATATCCCAAGCTGGATTCTCTGAAACATCAACGGAGTTTTGCACTTAAACTATAAAGTGGGAAATAGAGATGCATATTGCATAATGGTTTAGTGTCTTAGTTAAACAGCAAAGATTACCATTTAGATTGATTTCCCATGGACTGACGCCTGTCATAAAGCATGCCCTCTAATATCTGAGAAATTTATCCAGAACATTCTGATTCTCATGAGATGATCAATAATCGTAAGCCACGCTCCACAGCTGAATTTTACAGAAAGTGGAATGTTTAAATCTGAAAGCCGTTATCTAGATAATTTTAGATTTAACCTGAAGTAGAAGACTTCTTTAATGACAGAGAGTCTCAAATAATTGTTCTTGCAATGCCGATCAATCCACGCTAATCTTCTTTCATTCTCTTTGACGAACAATCTAAGTTATAAAATAATGTAAGTGATGGTTAATGCAAATGGGATGTTAGTTGGCTTGGGAAATTGTACTGACTACAAATTTGATGAGGTTAACTCCAATTGGTTTATGAAAAAGTTGGTTAGTTAAATGTGCAATTCTTACTCTGTACTGTTACAATAATCCTTCACCGCTAGTTCCCTCTCTTTCAAAGGGTGCCGAATGTTGTCTCGGTAGATTGTGGATCTGGAGATTTGTTCACCATCTAAGTTTATCTGTTTCGTCGCACCGGTATCACCGCTGACGATTCCAAGGCTCTGGGACAAGCTCAGTATTACTAGAATTTTCAAAACTTAGTATATATTTGTGGAAGTACTAACATGATCCGGTAACAAATTTAAGTCCAGTTGTAAAGATCGTTGTAAACTTAACGTTACTTATTCTTTTCTCACCTTGCAAGGGGTGACCTTAAAGTAGGCTGATCTAAAGAAGGCATTGCAAACAATCAATACCACTCCGGACAAAACTATTAATCCGAGATAATATAATGCTTTATGTAGTGAGACTTTCATACATAGCGACCAGCACTCAATTAACTTGAAAGGTAGCAATGATATTTTAATGCGGCATTTTCTAATGATATTTGACAAAATATTAACGTCGAAGCTAAAGAATTTATAATGAACCAACAATCGGGAACAGCAGTTGTTTCCAACTTTTGAGCGAAGGTTGAATATGTTGGGATATAGGCGTGACCTCGGGTAGATTCACTAAGTGGGCGAGGTTTGTATAAACCTCTTCGAGGATGCAAAATGCCAAAATGCGGTACATTTTTAGTAAGCTGTCCGCTTAAAATTTAAATGCTTGTTGCTTTCAAAGTGAAATTTCCATGTTGCGGCAAAATATTGCAAGATCCGTCCATACATGTAAGGCGAATTTCTGCATAGAATGAGGATGCTATTTTAAATTATTATTATTTTTAACTAAACCCAAAATTGGGTAGAGTGGATATAGTCTCCAAACAAAAGGATCTCATATCAATTTAAAATACTATTACTGTACCCAAACGCAAAATGATACCGAGAAATCCCATTCATTCACGGCCTGCAAATGGTAATACGAGCTCAGTTAGTGCCGTAACTGCAACTTGTTATTCTAAGGAACTGTATCAACAAAGCAACAATACGGTCCCTCACATCACGCGGTATATTATGCCACTGTGTAATGTGTAATGCTCTTGTTTCTTGAGTTACCATTGTTCAGGTTGACTGAAATAATGAGCAAGGAATCAGCGAGATGAATCGTTATGGAAGTTTTTAACAATATAATTTAATCCAGTTGCTGGCTTTCAGGAGTTAAAATATCATAATGGTGGCCTGGATATTTACTAGTGGAGTTAAAATATGCAGTATTCACAATGTTGTGAATACAGTAATTACCTTGAATTAAAAATATGGTTCTATTAATAAAGTTTGTCAGAAAAAAGGGTTAAAAGTTGTCAGCAGAGTAAGATGCTAATTATTTATATTGTGGTTACCAAGAGAGGACCAGAGGACGGATCTCCTTCCTTTGAACTTTAGAAGAAAGACAGGCACACATGGACAGGAAGTGGGGGCTCTGGCAAGTATCCAATAAGCACGACCCACTCCGTGAACTGATGTGTGGACTACTTATGTCCAGTCCGCAAGCATTTAGTTGGATATTATTATAAGCTACGAAGTACGAGCTAGTTGGGCTGCTTCTGTTGTTTAGTATTGGAATGGTCATTAAATAGATTGGAAGTGAACTGACCAATCAACTGAATACTCATACCACTACTATAGATGAATATCTAGTAGTTTAAGTACCGGCCAGTAACTTGTATTCTTTGTAAAGTTTACGAACAGTTTGTTTGATCTCATCATCTCATGTTTAAGAGTTTGTGTCACAGACTGTGCAATGTGTGCATTATATTAATATTTATGCAATACATGCAATATGTGGATTAGATCTTCAAATGTAACATAATAAATTGCATTTTTACTGGGTCTTTGTACCGAGCATTTTATATTTTTTATATTTTTTAGATGTTTTTGTCATTATTATTTGATTTGATTTAGTTGTGGGATCTAAAAACTGGCATGTGTGGTCGATTTAATTCAAAAATAACTAATCTCATACTAAAAATAAAAGCAGCCCAATTAGTTGAACGTCGTTAATAATTGTATACAACCATGCGATCTGTTTGCGTACATGTTCGGGCTTCATTGATACTGCCGGATCCCCTGTGACGGTCAGCGTTTGTGTAATACCATCACGATTTCCTTAAACTCTCTTAAAGTGCCCAATAATAGGTCATACATCCGGATCCTGATGGCACTGTCTCGGCTCTCGAGGCACTGTCGTGGCACTATGCCCTATGGCGGCACTCAGGCGGCATAGTTCCAACTTTCAATCATGTTTGTTCAAAAGCCTTACTCCTAAGACAATCTTTATACCTTCATTATTATCTTTTCACAATATAATAACCACGGGCGTGTCTTAAAAGCATTACCCTTTTCACTATTCTTGTCGAATCCTTGTGATTTACAATCCTGATCTGGTGACGTGTCACATGCTATCAGCTTATGGGCGTTGCGATAAAATTGCTGCAGGATACACTTAGAGTTAGGTATCACATAGCAATAACAAGTCCCACGTGCAATGTTCAGTTGTTCTAAGTTCTGGATTGGTATGACGCCGGTATTAACTTGACGTGAGGTGTGTCATGTGAATGCTACGTTGTACGGAGTACCTTGAAATCATGTCACAGAATATGGCATATAAGACGAGCTCTAGCTCGTCTTAGAGCTCGGGAAGTGTGAACCATCACTGATGCTATTTCCCTATGGAGCTATGACCCAATTATACAAGGAACATCGCTCATATTAATTGCGGTAAATGCACAACTAATATAATACTAATTAAACAACGCTACTTATGTAAGTATATTAGTTCGTTAAAACTAACAGAAGGGAGAATCGGGGAAGGGAGTAAGTGCCCAATTATACAAGGAACATCGCTCATATTAATTGCAGTAAATGAAAGAATGTTGAATTCTTATAGAGGTATAGTTCTTGAAAATAAGGACAAGAAATGTTAACTTCGTCACATCATTTTTGTGACAATGTTATCATCAACTGACAACAACACAACAATATATAAATACCTCGTTTTCATTTCATAACAACAAGTGCATATGGGAGTATGGGTCACATGGCTAATGTTCAGAACTTCTGAAATCTGAACATGCTAGGTTGATAGATGCCAAAAGTAAGCCACTATCGTCGAAAACGCTATTATTCAATATCCTCAAACTCAAACGATTCTGAACGTGTCCATATCCTTTATTTTTTTTTCTAAGAAATTAAAACAGTCAAACTTTACATTATCGAATATCGACTGTGAAGGAAATCCAGGGAGTGACTTAATTGACAGAATTTTCATTTGAAAGACCTAACTAAAAAAAAACTAGAAATAGAAATTGTATCATACAATGTCACTGAAATATGTAGGATATGATGCTAAACGGTCTATATTTAAACTGACAGCTGAAGTGACAGCTGAAGTAATATAACTCTACTAGTTATTATACACTATTATACACTATAATACAATACACTATAGTATTATAGTACACTTGCTGTAAATGAAATCCATCCATGCCAAAATGCAAAAGGTCGCGAACGGTAGGATTCGAACCTACGCGGGCAGAGCCCAATTGATTTCTAGTCAATCGCCTTAACCACTCGGCCACGTCCGCCTCATAGAATTTGAAAGTTGAGGCAATTTATTTGTATACAGAAAATACTTCTTACGTAGGATTATCTTGCTTGTTGTGGATATATTCTTGCTTATTTAAAACTTTGTGTTTGCTATGGATGATTAAATAATGTCGTCAGCGTCTAGCAATCTAGCATAACTCACTATCTGATCCTCCTGCAGATTTGCGATTTCGGACTTGCCAGATCACTGACCCTAGTTGAAGCAGACGACGCAACAAACCCCCAAATGACAGATTATGTAGCTACTCGGTGGTACAGAGCTCCCGAGATATTACTTGGATCGTTCAAGTTAGTGCAATTTACACTCTCAAAATATATCAAATCTGATGTCCAAATGTTTCCAAGTCACTTCGCTTGTTTTTTTTTGCGATGGATCACAAGTTTGTTTAAATTTGTATCTTACTGTCACCCTTCTAGCACAAATCACATTCACAGTTCACACCCTATTGCAATCTGGAAGTTTTCAAAAATGCGTCTCCATAACCGAGGAATCATTTTGATTTAGAGCCATGCTGATTTCACGTCGCGCGCGAAGCTCCGATATAACTTTTATGATTAAAACACAACAGTTACGCATTTTCTGTGACATTAATTTGCATTTCTTCCCCACGCTTCTTCGAATATTAGAACCGAATTTTCGATATTAGTAACCACTAAATATCCGCTGCCACCTGGACACTAGCCACTCTTGTCGCTCCACGGCCCTGTTAATCTTACCAAGGGCCGTACCCGCCATCCTGGCGTTGCGATTTGTTTTAAAAAGCACAAAACTCTTAAACTATTGTCTATTCTGTCTTCGCAATGCGATGGTACCGGACACTAGTAGAACTAATTTTATAGATGTTGATGCAATCCATGATCTGCAGTCCGCAGCTGATATAGCTCCCACAATTTCTCATAACACCGTTTAAAATTGAGCTCAGCTAGACGGTGCACTCACTGAAGATTGTCAGTTGTGACGTCAAACGCCACAGTTACAGGGTGATCCAAAAGTTAAGTGTTTATTGTAATCACCCCACTACACACTCTCCAGCTACCTGATGGCTGCTGGACATAAGATTGGAACTAGATTATAATGACACAATATTTCAGATATACTACTGGTATTGACATGTGGTCAATTGGTTGTATAATCGGAGAGCTGTTATCTGGTAAGCCCCTGTTTGCCGGTACCTCCACTCTCAATCAACTGGACATCATCCTGAGCGCCTCGGAGACTCCCTCTGAAGCAGATGTCCTGGCGATTAACGCTCCCTACGCTTCTGGAGTTCTAGAGAGATATCGAAACTTAAAGAAGTAATGAGTTTACTCTTTGGATTGTGGGCTTCAAAGCATGTTCCGATAATGTTTTATTGGCAGTTGAATAATGAATAGGAGTTAACTTCTAACGCAGTGAAAGAAGAGATCTAATTTTCTGTTAGCATGCATGTTATGTCTACTCAATGTACATTCTCACACGATTTTCACACGACTTATAATTTGAAAATTTCAGTACCATGTCAAGCACATTAGACATCTTGGTACCGAACTGCCCTCCCGATGCCAAACAACTAATGAGATCCCTGCTACACTTTAACCCTGACAAGAGATCTACCGCTGATCATGGCTGTAAAAGCAAATACTGTGCCAGATTCGCTAACCAAGCTTCTGAAATAACCCTAATACACGATGTGATGCCCCCGCTCAGTGATAATATTCAGCTCTCCGCTTCTGAGTATAGAGTCAAATTGTATGAGGTATGTCATGTTGCAGGCCTTTTCACCTTAAATACTCGTTCTCTATAATCAGTACAAAGTTTAGAGTGGATCATTAAAACGCAGTATTTCCATCGGACCAATATTGTTGTCTGGTCAATTAGACATCAGTGTTAAAACTGTTTTAATAAACATATGGCAATTCAGTTTCGTTTTCAGGACATTGTCAACAGGAAAGAAGCATTAAAAGCTCGGGCTGCAGCCTCGGCGGCAGTTTTAGAAGACTCGTCGGGGGATGGATCAAGCAACCTGTCTTCGGAGAGACAGAGCGAGGGATCAACGGGACAACTATCAAACAACCTTCAGGACACCCACATTCACTCTAAGTCTAACGCACCCCGCAGATACTCCTTCCAGTACAACTACAAACATTCTACTGACTCTAAGCACGCTCCAACTGATCAGGTCATGATCTAGCATATCCTGTTATCTTAAATAACCGCAGTTCATTTTAAACAAGTTATTGATTTATGGTACGTTCAAATAGATAGGTAAGGAATGTTCAGGTGACTAACTCCGAAATTCTCCAGGCAGCTTCAGAAGTCGTTCAGCCCCAATTAGCTGGTCAAAGTCAGGCGAAGATCGACAACTATCCAGACTCAAGTGAATCGCTGAACAGTACAGACCCCGGTAAACACGACAACTCTTACTCCGGAATCAGTGCACCCTACGCAACCTCACCTCTCAAGGAGACATTCAGACGCTCTCGGGTGAGACCCTTATTAACTTTGAGACAAGTTTTTTTTTACCCACTTTTGTGAATTTTCTGTCAACGAAGCACGAAAAGTGTGCCGACGTCAGAGGGAAAACTAAGTACACACAATAATATAAGTTTTGATATTTCACCCAACAAAGAAAAACATAGAATTCACAGTTGACAAAATAGGCCACAAAAACTCACAACTTATGACTGTATCTTAAATTCATCGACTAAAAAGTGTTCCCTCTCAGTCGGCAGGAAGTGTTGGAGTTGAAGGAGGAAAGGATGGTCGACCACACAACAAAACAAGGACAACCTTAGCTAGCAACAACAACCTCCGATCTCATAGTGCCGGGAAACCTGCCAACAGAGTTGCTTCCAAATCTAACCCTGGCACTCCTGATCTCACTGTCTCCAGCTCCAGAGTGGTTAGTAGACCCCCTGTTTAGCTCCCCTCCCCAAATATTCAACCTCCAATAGTTCCTTCTGCTCTTCAGTCACACCCCCTTCTATCAGATAATTACTTGTCTCATGAACAGTTACAGTTGTGAAACAATACACGTGACCACCACGTGACCATTGATCATGACCTAAAACAATTTGTTTAATCTGCTCTTGTTTAGGTCCCCAACAGTAGAGGATCCCCAGCCCGGGTGAACGGAAGACGTCCCATTGGTTGTAACAGTACCATACCCCCTCGTTACGGTACTTCAACACACCAACACGGTACTGTCACTAAAGATTCGCTCAGTGCTCTTAAAGCTAGACAGTGGACTTAGACTCGTGCTTATAATCGCAAGGTAACCAGTTTTCAGAATACTTAACGGGCTGTTTCGGCAACAATCGTCTCTAAGACTTCTGTGTGTGGCAAAGATCATCGTCTCTCTGGGACTACTGTTAGTAGCAAAAATATAAAAAACAAGATAACCGATTTATCATTATCAAGGAGTAATACGTTGCTGGTTGACTCGCCAATTGTAAATATTATGTTCATGGGAACATGTCGATTTTTTAGATTTCCCATTATGTGTATATCAGAAAGAACCCAAAAAAATTGTGTCGATGCAAGCTTTTGAAATCCGATTAGATTCAATTGAACTGTCCGTCGCTAAAGTAAGGACATTTTTTGACTTTGAAGTATGATTATGGAGATTTTTTTTAGTCTGATAAGAAAGTTTTCAGTGAACGGGTTTAACTTGTTAAACCAAAAACTGTTTGTTTCCGCTGGCATTATTACCGTAACTTATTAAACAACATTTTTGGACTGTAAAGATGAACTGATTTGTAGCATGCTTAATTACTTGGGGACCATTTGCAAATTTCGGATCTTTGCCAAATGACGACAACTTCTTCTAATTTTGTTCGTCCAAGAAGTTCAAATAATCGGTAACGAAGATCTTTATTGATATTTTAATTGTAATGGTCCCCCATTACTTCTGACGAAACAAATTCCAAATTTATACACACGCATGGCTATTGTTCATCACCACATGAAAATGATATTGTTTTGCACATTGTATTGACTGCTTTACTTTTGATTCTGGTATTTTCTGTTTTTCGTTTGTATTCATAGCCATTTGTATTTTCTCATAAGTTAGTAAAGCACATAGTTGGAAAAAGAAACACAAATATCAAGAACACTAGAAGTACAGACTTGTACAGTGTACACAATGGACAAAATTAAAATCACAAAAATTAGAAATAAAACTTACTCAACTTAGTTTGAACTGCAATTAGCAAAAGCAGAAACAATAAATCCATCCATTAGTTCAGAGCATGATTTCCTTTTAAATTATCAAGTCATTTGTTTGTATATCTAAACATAATTAATTAATTACATGATTAAATATTTATCTATTAATTTTGCCAGCCCCACCCGTCAAAGCCGTTTGTGCTCCAGAAATCACAGAAATCATGCTGAGGCCTATCGGGCCTACTTTCCCTCCATGGCATTTCATTATTGAGATATATACTGTCTGTCCCAGACCAAGTCTCTGTTTCACCTTTAGCAAACTGTTTAGTTAAAGCTCTCAACTGATCAGCTAATTCCCAGTCATGTTTAGAAGTCACATTGTAGTATGTGCCCCGGTAGTATTTGAACCCGAACATAGCCTCAGTGTCCCAACCATGCCAGGCTCCCCACCTCGCCCCGTTGTCTAAAACAGAGCTGGAGCTGTGTTCTATATAGAGTCTGTACACATCCAAGTGGGGGCTTGTGTTCAACCTCTCTGCTAGCTTGTTCATGGGACAGGTTGCTCTGATGTCTGTGGTGAGAGTGTCCCAGAATTTCTGGGGCCCCCACTCCTCGCTGTGCAGTCCAAACCTATACTTCTCCTTTATATCTGAGAGTAAAGTTTCGTTATCTTCGCCTAAAAAGGTTTTAAGACGTCCCCTCAACAGTTCCTCCACTGACGTCCATGACTCGACTATATTGGACTCGTAAAATATCCACCAGAAGGCGTTTTCTTGCGCAGTATTTGAGAGAATCAGCTCCACCCGTCCACTTCTGTTTGCCTGATCAGGAATGTCTTGAGGGAATTGGGGTAATAAAAACGGCTCTTTCACATTGTAATCCATACTTTCTCCCAACTCTCCCAATGACATGGGAAAATCGTAAAACCCCCATCCTCTGTTGGCAGTCGTACTAGCATTTATCAAGAGCTCCAACTCAGGTAGATTTCAAACAAGACACAACCTCAGTATTATAAGGTAACCCATCACAATTAACGTGTTCTAAAAAGTCAGGACGTCTCTTGTGTGCGTCCTGGTACGTAGTCTTCCAGAGAGGGGCTGAGGACATGGATATAGCTCTATTAAACAGACCCTCCGCTTTAGGAGCAGTAACCAGAGCTAATACGATAGTTCCACCCGAACTTTCTCCCATGATAGTCACTCTTTCAGGATCTCCCCCGAAAGCTGCTATGTTTCTCTGCACCCACTGCAATGCGATAAGCGCGTCGTTTATCCCGAAGTTACCGTAACTCTGGCCATCCTCCCATAGGGCTGGATGGGAGATGAACCCCAGCAGATCTAGCCTGTAGTTGATGTTGACAGTCACACTGTCTACACTTGCTGTGAAGTCGGAGTCTGCAGAGTAGCCAACATCCTCTCCATAACCGTACGCTAAAGAGCCACCATGTATCCAGACTATAACAGGCCGGCTAGAAGTAATGTCGGGAGTCCTGACTGACAAATACAAGCAATCCTCCTGTCCTTTAGGAGGCAAGGTAGGATGCCTGCACACACTTTATCTCTTTGTCCTTATCAGCAGGATGAACCCCCTCCCAACAGTCCCCATCCCCCATCAGGGAGCTGTGTTTCCATCGTCTCTCCCCAACAGGAGCAACTGAATAAGGAATGTACAGAAACTCACTGATCTCCAGCCCGTCAGCTGATTCAACTCTCCTCCCTTTAACCTTCCCGCAGTGGGTTGAGACGACCGGTGGTCCCTTTCCGGCCATCATCTTGGCAGCTATACTCGTCACCGCCACTATCACTATCACTGTAGAAATAAGAAGGAGTATCAGCCATACTTTGCGGGGTATCCGCTTTAGCTTCTCCATCAGTGACATCTCGTCACATTGCCTGTAATGTGGTACTGTGGATTGTTATCTTACAATCTGAACGCTCTTACATTATATGTTAAGTACGAGTGGATGAACCTATCAAATTTCCTAATGCAACAGCAGAAAAAGTGTGGGAGAGGCTCCCACCCTAATCAAACTCAGTGTAAAGCTACGATTAATTATTGAATAAACCGAATAATCGAATCTTGTCGTTTCTTTCCTAACTCTGTGGTCCTTTAAGAAACGAAAATGCAATGGTTATACTTATAGTTGTTGCAACAGTCGTACGAATAAATCTCAACTGAGCCTATTCTTACTCGCTTTTTTCTCAGATATATTCATAATCTAATAAACTTCGTTGCTTTATCATAAGTTTATGAATACATCTATGAGTATGACCACATTTAAAACGCTTATCTTGTAATGCTCATCATCCTGATTAACATACTCTAGTTCGAAACGTACTCTAGTTCGCTAGAAATCACCCCTGTCGAACTACAGACACAGTACGTGTAGAACTTGAACTAGAGTACGTGTACCCATCTTCCTAAAGGCCTTATTTAATTATGCCTTGGTAGAGCTGAAAGAAATGGCCATAGTTTTCGCGGTTTTCCACGTTACCCAACCGCGAAATGACCAGAGACAACCAACTCAGATAAAGCAAATGATGCTAGAGATATGATATAAAATGTTGAAATCAGTCGACGAGCAAGTTGAATATAATGATAGATAATAAACAAACAAAATGCTATTGCACCTATACGCGATACATGATCTGCTGCAATGTTAACATGATTTACCAGCCTGGTACATATATAGGAAGAACACTCGTAATAAGACAGACTTGCCAGTTTTAACACTTGCCTTCGTCTAGATTTGTTGCAATATTTTGAGCGGAATGTGGTATTTTGTGGATACTTAAGCACTTAGGTCCGGGCCTAAACTGGTGCCATTAGGGTCTAAGCATGATCTGCTGTAATCTGAAACACTAGATTGTGACTTATTTATAATTGGGCCTATTTTTCTGGTGCAGGATTACCCTGTTCAAACTGAATTACTTAATATTAAACAATCGCTTCGTTGCTCAGATACATTCGCAAATATTTTTAATTAAAATCCGCCGGAGTCACTTGGCTGAAAGGCGTTTGAACAAAACTTTGGTGTAGCAACAAAAGTATTCGAAGGAGTAGAAGAGTCGGTATCGGACACGGTACTTGTCAAATCCTGCAAAATAATTCATGAACACCTACAACATTGGCTTCAATTTGGGCGAGAGCGTGACAATACCATTACCAATAATAATACGCGAGAACTGATAGCATGTAGATTGTAGCTGTAGACGCTCATATTAACGCCCGCAGAAGAGAAGACGAAGAGGTAACAGAAAAGCAGTATCGCAATGTCAAGCTGTCCGGAGAGTTTAACATTTGAGCTGGACCAGTGGACCTGGTCTGACAAGCTGTCTGCTAGCTAGCTCCTTTATAATGTCTCTCCTGGACAATTTGTTTAATTTATAGTTAAAAGGGCATGTTACTTGCGGTGTAGCACAAACTTCCTGGAAATGTAGACTCTAAGTAGACAATATTCTGTCATGGCAATCGTAATATTGGTCAAGTTTTAAAATTAATTCAAGCAGGAAACTAACTTTTTAATATTGCAAAAACAAAGGCCTACAATGTGAGTAAAAAACTCAGTGTAATCGAGAACATTTTACAAAAATAGATTAGATTTTGTGACTAATGATACACGTTTACAGCCTTCTTTTGTCTAGCTGTGGCTTCATATAATTATAAGTCCAAGTGTATCAGTGTATGAAGTACAAGTGTATGCACAAAATTGCAGGAGAAAAAGGAAATGTAAATGGTATTTTTTCTGGTCTCTAGTCGATTCGACCTAATGTTCTACCAATCTTTCGACCGCTTCATTTCGACCGATGCGAACAGAAACACATAAAATGCTCCCTTTGCCGTATCGAGATATTAAATAAACCTTCGGTTTAAATTAATCGCCTGGCTGATAAAAACTACTTAAATTTGTTGACAGCAGTTTAAATTCCCGCATTTATTTGGGTGAGAATTTAAACTTTCGTCAAAACGAAATCGATGCTGATTGATTGCCAACTTGCAACGATTGCCAGCAAATATTCGCCGATCAAAATCATAAGATCTCAACGGCATTTTACGGAGCAATCTCCGTAAAGCTATGTCCAGTCATTATACTGCATGATTGAGAATAATTTGAGATGGTAGAGGCGGTGATTGCATATATTAAAGTGAGGTGACAACTAGCGGAGCTATCAATGAGCAGGGAGCACAATAGATCGGGACCCACCCGACCGTCGGGTTAAGCCTGTTGTAATTAATTGGGCAGAAGCAGCACCTCAAGCTATCTTACTCATCATAAATTTGGAGATATCGTATATCATGTTCATTATAATTAATGATATGTAATATATATGATATTGCAGGTGGTGTCTGTCGGCACTTACTGCCAAGTCATGCTATCCGTAAAAGGTTTTATTACTTCATTTTAGTAATAAGTCTGTAATGAAAAGTCTATTAAATGATTATAAATATGAAATAATGTAATACAAATACCTTGCTGTTCAAGTAGTGCAAAAAGTCAGCTTGAAGATCAAACATTCAAACTAACGGAAATCGTTTTACCCTACAAGTAAGAATGTGAGATTAATGGTACTTTGATGAAATGCCACGGGACCCCCCCCCACCTGAACAGAAGATCGGTAAATTTAGTGCTCAGTACCTGGTATGGAGGCCGTGGAGCACAAAATCTCAGTAATTTATTATTACCAACTCAAACATTGTTATGATCCAGTGCCATCTTAATATTTGTTTCTTTCAATTACCTGAGAGTGCTCAACTGACTAGCATGATGATTGGTATTATTTTATTTATAATTATATCATGGCACGAATCGTTTGCAAATTAATTTTGATTGTTTTATTTGTGACCCAGAACCTGTATGATAATCTGTAATATGTCTGATATATCGTCACTAAATTAGTGATCAATCCATTGTTCATTTATCTGGAAACTGGCGGGGAGGTGAACCATATTCTTTCGGCTCTTACTAATTCACTCGCCAGTGCCCTATCACATAACATGGGTTTTTCACAATTTTGCAGCCAAACCACAATCGAAACAGCCTCTTTCACAAGACTTTTGAATTCTTGGCGAGTGATTTCGTAGAAACGTCTTGTGGCGTGATAGCGAATAACAAACCAGCTTCCAACATTGACCGATCAAAACCCACAATCACTGCAAAATGTCTAAACAAGAATACAAATATCGTGGCATTTTCCAAGTTGATATCGCAGTACGGAGCAAACGAACGAAAACGTTTCACAGCTTTATAAACTAAACACGCACTGTTTAAACACTGTTTAATTAAACAGTGTTACTGTTACGTTAGATTGGTATTCTCTGAGTCAAACAAAAACCTTAATAATTGAATAACTCAGTGAATATGATTCCTGATTCGAAATGAGACTGCAGAAAGAAATCACAAATTATACAGCATAACCAAAAATAAGTCTTATTTTTTATCGGGCTTCAGAGATGATGGTATTCTGTCTTTTTTAAAACCTGATGACAATTTACTCTAATACATTATTAGAGTATGTATTATCTGGTATGCAAAATACTTTCAATTTCATCGAAATAGAACACGAAAAGAACAAAGAGTGATAACTGATCGAACGTAACAGATCAGTAAATTAAATGGCAATGCGCTACAAAACAAAGACTATTTAAGAGACAAACACCTTAATTTAATCAGTCCAATTTCACACTAAACCCCATTGTTACACCCTTCTCCGTTACCACAATAACACGTGACCATTCAACGTTACCATGATAACACGTGACACCATCATTATACTATGTTACCATGGTAGCACGTGACTCACAGCTTCCGAGTTAAAGTTCAAGAAGTCGTAAACTTCAGGGTTAGCCGTAATCAAAGTGACAGGAGTAAACTTAAAGTGACTGCTGAATTATAGACAAGAAACTGGTTTAAATAAATTATCTAATTATTTCAGGGAAACACAACTGACAACACAGTCAATGTAATACAAGACGATTTAAGAGAGCTCCATCTCAGTTGGATGTCTGTCAAAAATCTAAAAAATGTTCGCGATATTGTCCTTACTAGATGAATTTAAAATGGTGGCGTTTTAATTCTGACATATATGACGCATGTATTGATGATAAAGTTACAAGTTTATATATTCGTCCGGGTTTTTGTGTTAGAATTAGCGGGATGACCCGGGTTATCAAATAAACTGATAAATCCTTATCGAATTCCACGTCTGACGTCACTTTATCATTATCAAAACAAGTTCAATGGCTGCTAGAAAGGCCATTAAAATGGCTATTAACCGGTTATTAACTGACTGTTAGGTATTCGTGCGTACTCTGACTGCCAGTTAATAACCAACTTTCACTTGTGTTTTGTTGTGGCTATTAGCCAAAACAACAGACATTTTCAATGTATCAAATCTTATTGTTTTTATCTATGTTTTCATAATATGAAGTCAAATCCCGAATCCCGACAAAAAAGGTTTTGGTGTATGTCCCCTTAATAGCCGGTCGGCATTGTTATACCTATCTGCCTCCAAATAACTCTCAACTTTCCAGGAATAATTTAGTTTAAGAATTAAGATAGCAGCTCAAGACTTGTGGTACACCATCTTACAAAGTAAACAGAACTGTTCCAGGTCGTTGAAACAGTGTACTACTTTTATATTATTATCAGTGCTCGACGATGATGGCTGCGAGAAAACTGGTGTGTTAAGAATTAAGATCGGACCATTTTGACAGATTAACCTGTGAGCTTACAAAATTATGGACGGTCCTATAGTTTTAAGCAGAGAAGAGCCGAGTTTTATACTGAATTTCAATGATCGGATATAACTATAAATTTTGATCCTTAAAAAGAGGCCGATCAGCCGCAACCATATGTTTGTTAAGCTCCACGAAACAGCA